TAAAACCTAGTACTATTAGTACAATCATAAAGGTACAGTCTAAAAGTTTGATATTCAGGTGACATGGCAGTGACACATCCAAACGCAAAGCCCCAGAGGCAAAGCAAACAAAAATGTCTGGAGAGAGGAGGAAATCCTACTTTCTGTGGTTCCTGAACATTATCTGGAAGTTTCGATGGGTCATCTCCCTCCTCCATTCCTCATCACCTGGCCCTAAATTTCCTGCCAGGAATGATTATCTCCTTTAAGATGGGATTTTTCACCACCTTCACTACTATCCCTTCTGTGAATTTTTCCTCCAGGTCAGAGCATGTCACTTTTCCCTTCAATAGCCTTCATGGATTCCCTAATGTCTATACTTCTCAACTTTATGGTTGTTGTCTATGTATGTCTATGCTTCCCAAACTTTAGGGAAGAGAAGAATCACCAGGGAAAACTAGTTAAAATGTAGACTATTACATCTCAACCCAGAGATTTTGATTCAGTAACTCTGAACTGGGACCTACAAATCTGCATTTTAATAACCTCCCCCTGGTGATTCCAGCACAAGTGGTCCACAGAATACGTGTTGACCAAACAGTGATCTCTGGCATAAAGGTCACACTCCTTGGCCTGGCTTTCACGGCCTTCCAAAGTTTGATTCCAACTTCTTAGCCAACAGCACCCCTTCCTCACCCTTACTTGATCCCTACTGGGTTCCCTACAGCCCAACCACAGTGGTTAAGGCTAAACCAGACGGTGAGCATCCTTTACAGTGTACAATTTCTGGGTATTTTCTGGAAGTCCTCATTCTCTTTGGAAAGGCAAAATTAATCCCTCCTGTCCCTTTTCCCCCTTGCCCTTAGTATCTCAACTTTAGCACAGAGTTGTTCACACTATAGGTTGCCACACAATAGGTTGTGACCAGCTTTTTATTTAAATTTATGATTACTAGAACAGAATACACTAGCAGATATCAGTGTGCATTGCTGTGGTAAGGGTATTGTAATATATTTGTTTCAGTTAATTATACACGTACATACATATGTATGTATTGTGTCAGGATATAAAATGTATTTCTTACTGTGAGTTGTAGTAAAATAACAGCGTTGAAAGCCACAGCTACAGCACTCCTTCAATTTGTCTTTCATGAAAGCCATCAGTACAGCCTTCTGTTTCTCCATTATTGGGAAGCTTTGGAAAATAATAAATAAAGCCATCTTTACCCTCTTATCCCTCTAGCATCCATCATGGTGTTTTGTGCTCAATAAACATTAACTGGATTGAATTGACTGCATGATCACAATCAAGACTCTTCTGGGTTTAACTATTTCAGATCAAGTATCCTTTTTTAGGGTGTAGGGTTTGGGTTATTCCTTTCAGAAATTGCCTCTTTATGAGATAGTGAACTTTGGAACATTGCCAGGGGAAGTGGCCCTTCATCTTGGCCAGAAGAAAAGGGTAACATTTTCTAAGGCAATGAGGCTCGTTGGTGCAATGGATTTCCCCTGGAAATTCTGGAGTGTGGTCTGAGGAATGGAGTGGGTGGCTCCCTGGATCAAGATGGCCCAGTAAAAGGACACCCTAGAAGGACAAGAGTAGGGAAATGAGCTACATGAGCCTCTAGGTGTGAGCATTTGTTGAACATTTATTGCTCAATAAACAAGTCGCTCTGCTGGGTGCTTAAGAGCCCAAGAAGTCTTCGGCATGGGGGATGACTGAACCACCTTTGGACCACAGATGTTTTCTTAAGCCTGCACTGTGTTCAAACGGCAATGAAACGGGTCAAGATTGTTTGAATGCAAGTCATCTTACACCCAGCTTGCTTCTCACATGTATGTTAACTGCACATCTCCATTAGCTGTGAGTTTGGGACCTCTTATCTACAGCAAAATCCCTGGCTTTGAAGAACTCCATACAGAAGAGGAGTGAAGGCATAAACTTTTGGAAACAATTTCTAGGTCAGGTCCCTTGAACTGGATGCACAATGACCTAGTAGGGCAGTAAGTCCGGCAAAGAGGGATGTTGGACAGAGCAGGCATGCTGGACGTGGGGTAGAGCTGGGCTTCAAATGAAAAGCTTGGTTAAGTGGAGAGTAAGGAGAGGGCACTTTTTGGAGGACAGGGAGAGGAAGAAAGGTCTGGCTTACTGCACCAGAGGATCTGTGACAGCCAAGAGCCAGAGATAAATGACCTGAGGAAGACTGGGGTATGAAAGGCCAAGGGAAGAGAGAATGGGCTATGAAGTGTATTCAAATGTCAAAAAGGTTTTGTTACCAGGCCTTCAGCTTGTCCTTGGCCTCAAAATAAGACTTGAAAACAAGTGAAGTAATATTACTCTTCTAAAAAGCAAAAGTGACACACCTATTAGAATAGCTAAAATCCAAAAAGACTGACAATACCAAATGCTGGTAAGGATGGGGAGCAACAGGAATGCTCATTCATTGCTGGTGGGAATGCAAAAGGATACAGGCACTTTGGAAGACAGTTTGGCAGTTTCTTGCAAAATTAAACATAGTCTTACCATATGATCCAGCAATCATACTCCTAGATATTTACCCAATTGAGTTGAAAACTTATGTCCACGTGAAAACCTGCACATGAATGTTATATTAGCTTTATTCATAATCAATGAAACCTTAAGCAACCAAGATGTCCTTCCATTGGTGAATGGATAAAGAAACTGTGTACATCCAGACAATGGAGCATTATTCAGCAATGAAAAGAAATGAGTTATTAAGCCAAGAAAAGACATGGAGGAACCATAAATGCATATTGCTATGTGAAAGAAGCCAGTCTCAGAGGCTATACAGTGTACGATTCCAACTATTTGGCATTTTGGAAAAGGCAAAACTATAGAGATAGTAAAAACATCAGTGGTTACCAGCAGTTGGAAGGTTGGGAGAGGGATGAATAGGTGGAGCACAGTGGATTTTGAGGGTGAAGAAACTATTCTCTCTGAAACTGCAATGGTGGATACATGCCATTACTCTTTGTCAAAACCCGTAGAACTATACTGTTACTGCCCAAGGTGGGGGGTTGTCTGCCCACTGCAAGACATGCCAGTAGTCAAGAGGCAAGGAGGTAGGAGAGAAAGGACTTTATTACAGCTTGCTAGCAAGGGGGAAGATGGCCAACTCATGTCTGAAAGAACCATCTTACAGAACAAAGACTACAGGCCAGTCATATAGGGGCTAGTCTCCGGTGGGGGAGGCATCTGGTCTCAGGGTGGGGACATCCACTTGGTCTTAGTTCCTGATAGTCTTTTGTTTTACTGGATATGCATCAGAGACTGGAGCAACACCCTATACCCTGATCTTTCAGTTGTTATTGATGATGGCTATCAGCAGAGACTCTCTACCCGGGGGTCATCACATCCCTAAGGAACTCAAAAGAACAAAGTTATCAACTTATAGCAGCTGGGAGAGGCCATAAAATCTACAGAGCATGTCTGGGTTAGTTAATCAGAGGTTATTCAAAGTTACAATATGGTTTCTTTTCTACAATATGGCTTCCCTTATGTCAACCTTGTGTTGAGCCAGTATCACTACAACACAAAGAGTGAATCTTAATGTAAACTATGGCCTATAGTTAATAATAATGTGTCCATGTGGACTCATCAAGTGTATCTAATGTACCACACTAATGCAAGATATTAATAATAGGGGAAATAGTGTGTAGGGGGAGATAACAAGGTGGGAGGCTGAGAATATAGAACTCTATATACTCCTGGCTCAGTTATTCTCTAGATCTAAAACTGTGCTAAAAAAAATCTATTAATTATTAAAAAGAAAAAAATCTCTAAGAGATTTCACATTGAAAGAGAAAAAAGACAAATGTGATGAGAATTATTTTTAAGTTTCAAGAGAGCCAGCAAGGTAATCCCGGAACCTTGCTTGTAAACGACACAGCCAGCCTTGCTCCCCGAGACCCTGTTCACTCACAGAATCCCTCACCTGTCAAATAAATCCATGCCACATTTCCTCAGTGGTAGAAGCTCAGGCCCTGTTGGATTTGTACAACGAATCCCCTTGGAAGTAAGACGGAACCAAAATTTTCATCGCCTTCCCAGTTTGCTGAATTTTCTCATGAAAATGAAATTGGGCTTGTCTGGTAAATTTGAAAAAGCAACATCACGAATTCCCTCCAAAGAGAAAAAAGACTTTTCTCTGGCTGAACTTTTCTCAACCAGCTGTAACGATGGTTTTCTGGTCTGATTGTTAATTCTCCCCAATTATGTAGAAGGCCTTTTAAATTTTGTTTTTGGTGGTTTTTCTCTTCTGAGTAACTAGACGAGACAATCAGCCCACCTTTCATATTATAAAAAGGCTGCTTCTTTTTTTAATTACTGCTCCTCTTTGGAATTTCTGCAAGTGATCATAGGGGTAAATTCCGATCTGTTGCTCTCACTAGAATGGCTTTTAGTGAGGTGCTTGTTTTAAATCCCTCTAGGGTCGGCCCCGTGGCTTAGCGGTTAAGTGCGTGCGCTCCGCTACTGGCAGCCCGGGGTTGGGATCCTGGGCACGCACCCACGCACCACTTGTCCGGCCATGCTGAGGCCGCGTCCCACATACAGCAACTAGAGGGATGTGCAACTATGACGTACAACTATCTACTGGGGCTTTGGGGAGAAAAAGGAGGAGGATTGGCAATAGATGTTAGCTCAGAGCAGGTCTTCCTCAGCAAAAAGAGGAGGATTAGCATGGATGTTAGCTCAGGGCTGATCTCCCTCACAAAAGAAAAAAAAAAAAATCCCTCTAAACTGCACAGGCAGGTCCAGCAGAGGACCCCTTTAAAACTGGATTAATCCCCTTGAGTTCTAAATCCTTTTGCTCTGGGGGCTGACATCCGGTTCCATAACCTTTTCAATCACCAATGTTTGCTTTGAAAGTTGGCACTTTCTATTTAAATGGCAAGAAAGATGGGAAATGAGCCTTACAGAGCCGAATGTATTGATTTCAATTATCACCTTTAATCCACACCTTACCTCTTTATAATGTGCGGTTTTCTTCTCTTACTTAGAAAGAGCCAGGGATTATCTGCACAAAACTGGAAGGTTTATTGTGATCGGTGGGATTGTCTCTCCTGTCCATGACTCCTATGGAAAACAGGTGGGTTCCTCCTTTGCCCCTCTCCTGCCTCACCCTCCCTTCCTGACTTGATGGCTCCTGTGACATAAAACTGCCCCATCGCCAACTCGGCTACAATTCCTGGAAAAGCAAAATGCCCAATGGCAGGTATCCTGCTTGCCATCTCTGGACCACAGTCAGACCTGAGCGAATGGGTGTTGGGCAGCAGCTGGGAGGAACAGCTGCTCACGACCAGGCGGCCGCTCACAGCGCCAGGCCCAGGCAGAACTCAGAGCAGGCACACCTGCTGTTGGCTGAGTGTGACGTGGCACAGATGCCGAACTGGAGGCTGGTTAATGGGCTGGACAAGTCTTTCCCAGGATTTTAGGAGGAAAAGGCCTATGTATCTTATAATCTGATTTAAAATTCATTTCCCTGTCCCACTCCCTGCCACATGTCCTAGAAAATCTAGGAGCTCTCCCAGTCATTCCCCTTCCTCCCCCAGATACAGCTTGAAGGGCTCCAGGGGAAGTCACTGAAACAGCCAGATTGAGCCATGAGACAAGGCAACGTTTGCCAAGTTAAGTCTCATCTCTGTGCTGAGCGTGCATTGGCTGCTTCATCAATGGAGGCTCACCTACTGACCCTGTTGGGGGTGGTACACTCCACGCTCTCTATTCTTTCTCTTTCCCTTCTGCCACTCCATGCCTGTCTGTGTGGCAGATGGAGAAATAATGGGGTCACACCCTCATTCCCTGTCAACACCGAAAAATGGCTGCACTTTTATAATGGGCTGGCTTGGGATGGTGTCTCTGGGAGGCTGTGGGGAGGGAAGTGTGCCTCCCAATGATTGCTCTGCTGCTTCCCAGGGCCTTGTGTCGAGCCGGCACCGTCTCATCATGTGTCAGCTGGCCGTCCAGAATTCCGACTGGATAAGGTAGGGCTGGCCTGATGATGCCAGAGGTGGGTGGCCCTGGGACTCACGGTGGGTGTGGAGAAAGAGGAAGTGTCCTGGCAGCAATTTGCATCCTGCAGGGGTGGGGAGGCCAGGGGTTGTGTTAGCCCCGTGTAGGCAATAATTACGTAGACCTTCAGGCGTGGTCCAACTGATAACTTTATTTTTTAACCAAGCTATGGGGTCCATGAAAGTAAAGAGGGGGCTTTTAATGTTTCACCTGCTCTGAGTCCTTTGGATCCAGGAGTATTCTTGGAGCTTCCAAAAACATCACTGGGTTTGAGGTGAGGCATGGCCAGAAAATCCTAAATGCCTCTCCACTTTCATCCCCACTCACTTCCGTGAACTCTCACTACCTTTCAGGGAATGTTCCTGGCCTTGGCTATCTCCCATTCCTGAACTCAGGCTCCCTAGGGCACCACACTGACCATGGGACAGACGTGTGGCCGGCGAGCACTCACTGCCTTTCCTCAGACGTGCCCTGCACGGTCCCTCGCTAAGATGGCAGACACCCCCGTTATCTGCTGAACTTGCAGTGTAATTAAAGCAGGCTTCCACTAATTATGCTAATTATGCTCCCCAAGTTCCTACAGTTATAATTTGCATGAGAAGATGATGTTTTTAAAAAATAATGGCACACCATTTATACTATAATTTCCCCCCATGGAAAAATAAGCGGCACCTAGAGGTTTCCATAAACAGCAAGAACTGAAAGGAAGCTGACCTCGGAGTGAGGGATGCAGAGAGTCAGGAGAGAAGAGATGGGGTGGGTGGAAATGAGAGCAGTGGAGGGAGGCCACAATCATAATTAAACAGTGATCCCTGCCCTTTGTGTGCAGTGATTTGTGTGAGAAGCACATGCCCTTTATAGACTTTCTCATCCTCCCAAGATACGGGTTAGCTAGAGAGACAGCTGTCTTTTCTCAGGTGACAAACAGGCCCGGAGAAGTCAAGGGGCTTGGGAGCGAACAGCCCATCTGTGGTCAAGTCAGGAATGGAAATGAGGCTCTTAACATTGTCACTCATGTCCTCCTGGGGATCCAGCGGGAAAATACTGGGCAAGAGGCTGTTACTGCTTGGATGTGATTAGAAGATTCTGAAATAATTCCCTTATTCATTCAACAGACATTTACTGAGCACTTACTGCCTGCCCTGCGCTGCTCTAGGCACTTGGAAAATCAGAATTCCAAGCATTGAGATCCCTAGGGAGGCTCAGAGTGAGCTCTAGAGAGAGGGCTGGGTGCAGCAGGGCCCCTGGGCACGGAGAAGCCTGTCTAGCCAGGCTTAGGTGTCTGCCCATCTCAGGGGAGGCAGTGGTCAGGGATCTGGGGGGAGCCAGGCTCAAGGCAAGCTGACTCTCTGAGGGTTGGTGAGATCTCGTCTCTGGGAACCTTAAGTGTGAGTGTACGGTGCAGGTGGGTGGGGAATGCTCAACTGCTAAGAAAATGTTTGAGAAATATCCCAATTTAGCAGCTCGTTAAGTTGGCAATTAAGAGAGTGCTGCATCAGTCTGGGGCTGGAGCCCCGCTCACTTCATATCCTGGTGTGCAGCAGGGGTTGGCCAGTCTGCGGGTCTGAGCCTTCCTGTCTGACTGCCACGCCCCCCTCCATGCCTGCGAGGCACCCCACTGCACAGGGAGGCAGACAGGGGCCGATTCCCCAGTTCAGATAACGGCAGCCACCACTTGGTGAGGGCCTGGCTCATTGAATCCTCATCACGATCCTATAAGGTCCAGAGGAGAAGTCCCATTGTGCATGTAAGAATAAAAGCAAGACACTGTACTAAGCACTTTCCATATAAAACTCATTGAGCCCTTCTAAGAACCCCACAAGAGAGTTCTGTTGTTATTCCCATTTCACAGATGGGGTAAGTGAGCACCGGAAGATCCCATCATGTTCCCAAAGCCCCCCAGGTGGGAAGTTCTGGGATTAGACCTGCGCAGACTAGCACCAGCATCCATTCATGGAAGTCTCTGCCATACGCCTCTCATGCTACAGAGGGGGAATCTGAGGCTCAGGGAGGTGTTTGAAGCCCATATCTTATCTTGTTTGAGATCTGAGTGCAGGGTATGACCAGGTCTGCTAAGGTCCCTGAGCTGTGGCTTTGGAGGAACCAATGAGGAAAGAATGTGAGGATGGCCCATCTTTCTGATTATGCAGGGTGGACCCATGGGAGTGCTATCAGGACACCTGGCAGACGACCTGCAGTGTGTTGGAGCACCATCGGGACCTCATGAAGGTGAGCGGGGCCGCGGCGGAGGGCGGGTGGACCACAGAGGCCAGGCCGGTGTGGAAAGTGTGCTGCTGGCCTACTGACCTGGTGCAGCTTCCTATTTCGCAGCCAGCTATTGCAGAGACCAGGCCCTGAGCAGCACGGAGGAGGGCAGTGAATTAGGAACCCACAGCAGCACTAGGCGCTGCTCCCTGCCTTGCTCTCTCTGCTGGGTCTGACTTGGGCGGTTTTCATCTTCTGGCAGCAAGTTCGAGGTGGGATTAAATGGACTACAGTCCACTTCAGAAAGCGAAGAGAGAAGGAGACCAGGCAAAGAAAGCCAGGAGAAGAGAGAGCACTGGGAGGAGGTACAAACAGCCAGGTCCTCCTGCCCCATCTATTTGGGACCCATCAGTCCCCTTACTGCAGCATAGGATGCTGTGACTGAGGCACTTCACATCTGCCAGTCATTGTACCATCGTTCCCACTCATTCCTCCTCACGTGAGTCCCACAGACAGACAGTGTCCTGACCCCTGTTTTGTTAGTGGGTAAAAGGAAGCACAGAGAGGTGAGCCGATGTATCTGAGGACACACAGCGACTGCTTAGTGAACACAGTTGGGTGCCTGGGGCTTGCAGCCAGGTTTCAGTGACTGAAGAGCTGGTTGCCAGGTGAGAACGGCAGCAGCCAGAAGCACTGGCCAGAGGGTGCAGAAAGCACCCTTCACAGATCATACCAACCCCTTTGCTCCCATAGTGACATGATGAAAAGTAGTACCACGGATAGCAAGATGCCTGACTGACCAAGACAAGACCAATCAATCCTGCCCACCTCCACTGACCCTGATGAAGAGCCTCCCCAGCCCCAAACAACAATCAAAATGGCATTGTTTTGACACAGGGAGCACCTCCATCCCATCTGTGCTTTCTGTCAGAGGGCCTGTCAGAATCTTCTCCTTAGGGAGCTGTCAGCAGCCCCTGATCACCCCACACTCCACCAACCACACAACCGTGCTTTATTTTAATAGACATGGAGCTCCAGGGCTCCAGACCAGCCAGGGAGTCAAGAGCCAGAGAAGTAGGGGGGACCAGCTGGCTCTTTCTGCATCTATTAAGTTTTTTCTCCCGTGGAGTTGAAGAAAACCCATCTCCTTTCCCCCTGCTTTCAGAACCCCTTGCACGCATCCTGAGTCTTTTCTGGTACCCTAGAAAGGACTCTGACATAGGGTGGCACTGACTTGCTCCTCTGTGCTGATCTTAACAACAGTGGTAATAAAAGTCATCCCATCTTACTGCATAAGGGTGTATCAGTCAGGATAGGCTAGGATACGCTGTGGTAATAAACATCCTTAAAATCTCAGTGGCTTCACATAAGTTTGTTTCTCACACTACATGGCAGCTGGGGGTCAGCTGGGGGCCTGTGCTCCCTCTAGTTACACAGGATCCTCAGGCTCCATGGTGGTGGAAGGGAGGAATCAGGGCCCCCGCAGGCATGCCTGAGCCCCGGCTATACCAGCAGTAAAGCCTGGCTACGTTTTTCTTTCGAAATGCCTAGGCTTCCCCAACCATCTCTCTGTTACTCATGCCCAGAGGCATGAGTCTGGGCCAGAGAAACTCGGTCAGGAGCCCCAGCTGTTGTAGGGATGGGCACAGGCCAGCAGAGAATGTAGGTCACGATGGCCCCCTGCCTTGGAGCAGGAACTTGGAGCTGCTTCTAATAACTCCTGGTCTCCCCAGTCCTAGCATCAGGCTGGTGTTCCTGGCATGGAGAGTAGACCTCTCTGAGAGAGAGAGACGCAGGGTTTAATAGGTAGCTCAAGGCTATGTTTGGAAAGGCCTCTGAGAATGTGAGAGCCCATAGAGGGCTGACGAGGGCAGAGCGGGGCATGTGGCCAGCCCTTTTCTTCTTTACTGGCATAGAACAAGTCAAATGGGCCTAACAATGCGTGCAGCAAGGGGAAGAAATTCCTCACCAGACCAGCTATTAAATGAGAATGTAGGGCCGGCCCTGTGGCTTGGTGGTTAAGTGTGCGCACTGCAATGCTGGTGGCCCGGGTTCGGATCCCGGGTGCGCATAGAGGCACCACTTCTCCGTCCATCCTGAGGCCGAGTCCCACATACAGCAACTAGAAGGATGTGCAGCTATGACATACAACTATCTACTGGGGCTTTGGGGGGAAAAAATTAAATAAATAAAATCTTTAAATGAGAATGTAGCATTTTCTTTTCTGAGGGTGAAATAACAATAAGAAGGAGGCAGACTGTCCCTTCCACTCCCGCAGCTGCAGCTGGGCAGAGAAGCCCAGAAAGCAGGCGGAGAAGAGCCCGTGGTCCCTGGCCTCAGCTGGCTCCCAGATGTGGCTGGATGCTGCTGTGAGCTCTTCCTGTCAGGAACATTACAGGTCATCCCACAAAACAAACGCCTGCCCCTCCAGGGCTCAGAAGGACTCATGTGCTACTCTGGCTGCGCAGTGGCCTATGGAAGAGGTGCCTTCAGAGGCTCACCTCATCCCTGGGACTTGAGGGTCCTCTGGCAGCAGGACTCAGTAATCCAGAAAGGGTAGGGGGTGGCGGTGGGACGCTGGCTTTCAGGGAAGGGGCCTTGAATAAGCAATGGCCCTTGTGAAGCTAAACAGATTGAAAATTCATCCTTTGTCTGTCGCCCAAAAACTGCTCCCCCGTTCACCGTGGGCAAGGGGGGTTGCTTCTGGGTCAGCTGTGAAGAATGCTGCGTTATCAGCTCTCTGTTTTCTGCGGCACTAGAGAGAAGCAGCAGGCCAGATAACACAGACAATGGATAATACACAGAGAATTTCCGTTTGGCTCTGGAATGTGTATTCGCACTGGCGAGCAGTTGCAAGAGTGCACAGAACCCCACCCCCCTTCCCGCAGCACAAACACCTCCCGCTCTGCCTGGCACTGCTCTCGGGCGCGGCCCTGTCGTTGGCATCTCTGGCCTAGAGAGGTGGCAGGCGCTGATAGTGCCTGGTGTTTGCATGACCTTTCCCAAGCCTCCACAGCCCTGTTGCAGACATGACCTCACTTGAGCCCCATGAAGCAGGCAGGGAGGGCAGGTATACATGTTACGCAGAGGTTACAACCCTGGCTGCCATGTATGAAGCTCCTGCCACGTACCAGGCCCTCTAGGAGCACTTTGTATATGCTTGCTCCTGTAATCCTACCACAACCCAGAAAGGCAGCTATGTTGCCTCTCTCCGTTAGACTCTTAAGCTGGGGTTCAAGAGAAGTGAAGTAACTATCCAAGGTCACACAGCCAGAAGAGGGCAGAGCTCAAACTTGAACCCAGGTCTGTGCAACACCCCATCCCACGCTTTTCCCACTGAGCTATCCTGCCTCCTGCCTCCTGCCAGCCTGGTGTGGCCACGGGGTGCAGCTGGGTCCAGAACCCACCCCCAGTGCTCTCCCTCAGCCCCAGGTGGCCCCACCACGACGGACGGGCAGACCGGCATTTGGAGATAATGGAAACACTTTTCATAAGTCCTGTGGCTAATGACACTGACTCTTCACTTCTTCCTCAGCGGGTGACCGGCTGCATCCTCTCCAATGTCAACACACCATCCATGACGCCCGTGATTGGACAGCCCCAGAATGAGACCCCCCAACCCATTTACCAGAACAACAACGTGCCCACCAAGCCCACTGCAGGTAGGGGAACATTGGTGTAGAGCGGTGGTTCTCAAACTTCAGAATCACCTGGAGAGCTTCTTAAAATCCAGATTGCTAGGCACCACCCCAAGATTTGATGCAGTAGGTCTGGGAGGCAGAGGAGAATTTGCATTTTTAACAAGGTGATGCTGATGCTTTGGTCCAGGGACCATACTTTGAGAACTCCTAATACGGAGCATCAGAGAGAAAGAGTCACAATGAGAGAGAGAAAGACAGAGAGAGAGACAGGGGTCATGGTGTGCATTCTTCTTCGGCATTTGAATATAATGGCCTTAACTGGGAATTAAAGATACAAAAGGGAGCATTTTTCTCTGCCTCTTCCAAGTGGGTTGAGGATCTTGCCCAAGGTCACACAGTGAGGAAGTAGCAGGGCCAGGAGTCAAACCAGGCAGTCTGTATCCAGAATCCCATACTCTTAGTCACCTCTTCAGTGAAGGGCGCAGGGGTGCCCAACACTTACCCAACATCTAGCACTGTACGCCTGCACGGTGCTCAGTGCTTTACTGCACGGTGCTCAGTGCTTTACACAGGTTCTCATTTAATGCAGTAACTCTGTGATAGAGATACTGTGTTCCCATTTACAAGGAGAAAACTGAGATTCAGAGAAGGTAAGTGATTTGACTTAGGTCACACGGTTCAAAAGTGGAAGAACCAGAATTCATATTCAGGACTGTCTGATTCCAAGGTCCACGTTCTTTCTAATATTTTCTTCCAGGCCAATTGCAAGAGACAGAGCCTAGAATTACTTTTCAAGCCTAGAGACCATAAGGTATTATGTTATTAGTCTATTACAATCAGGGTAATTCACCAGAAGAGCCAGGATTTCATAGTTTGCATACAACTACATGTGGGAGCTCAGAAAAATTTTCTGGATTAGAGCCCAGAGAGATCATTGAAAACCAGATCCCTCTCAGCCAAAATAGGATGTCTGATTATTTTAAAGGCCATCTGCATGGGAAGGAATGCCTTAGCCCAGCAGAAATTATTCCAAGTGAGTTGTTTGCCACAGGCCAAGTGTCCTTAGATTTGGGTGTTGGTAATCAGTGATGAGAGTGGCTGAGAAATGCTCACGATATTAAAAAATGAAAAAAGCAAACAGTCTATATGCCCTTTAAATGCAGAATATGATCCAACTTAAGTTACATAGACATATCTGCATCATACACATTAAAAATGGAAGAAAATAAGTAATATACCAACATGTTAGTGGTGGTTATCTCTGGGGGTGGAATTACGGGTGCTTTTTATTTCCCTCTTAGATATTTTCCAATTTTTCGACAGTGTAATAAACATGACCAGAAAATAGATTCCAGTCTATGGCTCAAAATGCTTGTGCCTTGGACTGAGAATAAGAAGGAATTTTTGCTGTCATGTTTCTGTTCTCTCTCTCTACCCTCCTTCTGCTCCCGCTACCCAACCCCCACCCCCTCCAGTGCAACCTGTTGTTTACAGTGGCCCAAATGCCGGGCCGACTCAAGTGTAAGTTGTGAGTGGTTCTCTCCCTCTGTCCCTGTCTGTCTTGCTCTCTCCCACAGCCAAGATCTTGGGGAAGGTGGGAGAAAGCCTCAGCCGGATCTGCTGTGTCCGCCCGCCGGTGGAGCGCTTCACCTTTGTGGGTAAGGGAACGAGGACTTTCTTCCTCGCTCTTGTCTTTCTTTCCCTTTTCCCTTCATTCGTTCAGCAAACACCCCCAGCACCTGCTACGGGAGGAGCACTTATAGAGCAACGACTGAGAAAGAACAGAGGTGAGCAGGAATGTGACCAGGCCTGCCATGCTCCCTGTTATGGGAGCCCAGAGTTGGGGGCTGGGCCCCTGGGGCTGCCTGGGAGACCTCATACAGTGATACGCTCTTTCCCCATCCACCACAGAATGTGTCTACATGCCTAAGAGTTTTCCGTGTTGCCCAGCATCCTCCCTCAGGTCCTCCCAGCTCCAGCGGTGTCTGTACTCCTACTGATAGGCTAAGAACACACACACTCTTTCCTCAATGCCCTCTGTTTTTTGGTTGCTCTTCAAAGGACTCAGCATGGGTGAGAATAACAGAGTCCCTGGGGCTCTTTCAGAGTCCCCAGATTCAACTCTGCAGAAGAGCTGAAGGTCTAGACCTCATTCCTTTGATTCTTTGGGACTGACTTCTGCCACATCTGAGATTTCTAATTTCAGGCATCTTGAAAAGGAACTAAGAGGGATGGTTGAGGAGGAAGGGAGGCGGGGACCAAGATGGCATCTCTGTGGTTTGGGGCATACCATGCACCCCCATGCAGGCATTGCACACTCGAGAGTGCATGTCAAAGGCTCTGTCATTCACATCTTCCTCCAGTTCTTGCTGTGTTCTGCCACATGAGAAATCTCAACACACTCAGTTTTGCTTGTTCTTTGAACCAGGTAACCCCTAAGGAGAGAGGGCCACCTCTTGGTGACTCTAAAAGCTGCCTCCCTAAGTTTTGAGGTCATTGCTCTTGTGGCCAGCCTCCCTAAAATACAGAAAGAAACAGAAGGCGCTCAGCATGAGTGTGTGTGTGTTCGTCATTGGCTCCCCAGTGAGGCTGTCTAATTCTGAGAGTCCCAGAAATATGAAGTCCTGCCCTGGAGCATGAGGAGACACTCTCTCTCCACTTTAGGCTGCACTGTACTCTCCATTCACTCTACTCAGATGTCCCCTGTGCAGGGAGGCAAGCGCACCCCCTACTCCCACCCACCCCACCCCTGGCATGTACTCCATCTGAGGAGGCCGCCGGGCGGACTGACCATGTGTTGCGTACCAGGAAGTCAGTTCTGCATCCCTAATGCTTCTGCGTTCTTTCTTTCCTCCCTAGATGAGAATGCCAACCTGGGCACAGTCATGCGGTACGAGGAGATTGGTAAGAGGGGCTGGGAAAGCGGGGACATTTGGAGCCACCTGCCTCCACCACGGGCAAAGTGGGGGAAGGGAGAGGCTTGAAAACCCTGGGTCGTGTTTGCAGCAGAGTCTACTCTCAGAAGGATTGCTCCCAAGTTAAGATCATTCTTAGTTATCTCCCCTCTTACATCTCCTTGGACTCAGGCCAGTTCCCAGGAGGTAGGACTGGATCAATTGGCAATTTTCCCTTTGGAGCCTCCTCTCCCTCTTCCAAAAGACATGGAAGTTGAGTTTCAGTGCCGGCCAGAGACCCTTCTTTTGCCCAAGACTCTGTGCAGGAGGCAAAACAGCACCCCTGCCTCCTTATCAGAGGATTTCCCTGCTTGGAGGATGAGGAGGTGGGGGGGCTGAAAGTCACCTCCACAGCCTCCCCACAGCCTTGGGCGGAGGCTACAGCATCTATTGTCTGTGTGAGGGCCATGGAGGGCCAAGGCCAGAGCAGGTGGGGGGTAGTATACAGAGCTGTCAGACGGGAAGGAGCTGACCCACCCGTGCAAGTGAGCTGAGTCCTAGGTAACCCTAGGTAACCTAGGTAACCAGAAAACTAAACCTTTCCAAGTTTCCAGAGTGGGTGAGAGACACAACTGGTAGACACAAGTGTCTGAAGTTGGGGAAAGAGCAGATAGCCACCAGAATGGAGCTGGAGTTGGCACAGGTCCCAGGTGACAAGGAGGGTCAGTGACAACTGGAATGCCTGGATCTCTGGGATGAGGGGCAGCCTAGTGTCCAGCAGAAATGCTCAATCTTAAACTTCCCGCTGCAGAGTATTCCTCCCCTTCCTGGTATTCCTCTGTCTAGGGCTAGAGGTCAGGGCCTCCTGCTGCAATCCTGGGAGGGGTGGGGCTCTACCTGAGTGCCAGGTTCTCCCAGGAGGCCCAGCAGATGTGACTTTCTTTCAAGGAGCTTCTCTGGGTCTTGTCTTCTGATCTGAGGCACAGTGGTGCACCTGAGTCAGCTCATACTTGTTTGCTAGAAGCTTTTGTAAGATTTTTCAGAAATTTTGCAAACTGGTTATTAAATACAGCTGTAGGGGAGGAAGAGCTATTCCTCTACCCTCTAGGTCCTTCTGGCTGGTCTAATAATTGAAGTGACAGGAGACGGAAGAACAGGAGAAAGTTCAAGAAAGTTTAATAATATGTATACATGGGAGAAATCCAGGAAAAACTGAATAACTTGCCAAAATGGCAGAAGCCACCAACTTAAATACCATTTTCAGCTAAGGACAAATAAGGACAAAGGAGGATGTTGCAGGTAGTGATTTGGGACCTCAAAAGGGAGGAAGGCAATTCACATGGAGATCAAAAAGCAAATGTTTGGTAAACAAATGTTTGCCTGGCCATCTATAGACAAAGTGACAGAGAGAAAGAGCGAGAGAGCAAGAGAGCGAGAGTGAGAGTGAACTTTGATGAAAATGGGCTTAGCAAAGATCCTCCCAGTCTGTCATACCCAGAGTTATCCATAGTGGTGGCCTGTCCTGGGACAGACCTTCTATCTTAAATTCTTTTTGGCAGTTAGAGGAAAGGTCAAAATTTCTTTCAGAGTCTTTTTTTGTGTGTGTATGTGTGTGAGGAAGATCAGCCCTGAGGTAACATCTATTGCCAATCCTCCTCATTTTTTTCCCCAAAGCCCCAGTAGATAGTTGTATGTCATAGTTGCACATCCTTCTAGTTGCTGCATGCCGGACGCATGGCTTCAGCATGGCCGGAGAAGAGGTGCGTCGGTGTGCACCCGGGATCCGAACCCGGGCCACCAGTAGCGGAGCGCACGCACTTAACCGCTGACATCTTTCAGAGTCTTTTGTCCTTAAAAATAATCAAGTCAAAGAGAGACATTTTGGGGTGGCCAATTCTGATCTCCCACACAGCCAATACTAAAAATTAAATTATACTAACAGTTAAATAAATTGTATTAAAAACAAAGATAACGAGTACTCAAAACTCCTCACTTCCTAATTATTTTTACTATATTTTAATATCCTTTATTTACTAGCACATCACTGTCTGAGTGCCACAAAAAGTGGCACCTGGCTTCCTGGTTGCCACACTCCCACTTCCTGCTGTGCCACACCTGGCCAGGATCTACCTTCCCTGGGAAGTCTTCCTGACCAGCAGAGCTCAGAGCACTCTTTCGACTTTTACCTGTATTCCAATGGATATTTCTCTCGTTCCTTGTTCTAGAAAGAATTTACTGTGGCCAGGCTTCAGCTGTGACCTCGTTTACCTTCCCAGCACCCAGGGCCAGTATACTGGGCGTCCCTGCCCTGGGGGGTTCCCCCTCCTACAGAGGCAATGCGGTGGGTGTTTGCACAGGGCACTGCTGCGTGCTGGCGCCCTCACGTGCATTCTCTCTCGGCAGCCTTGTGAGGGGCAGGGCCAGTCTTAGTCCCATCTTACTCTGCTTTCAGAGAAAGGAAAGCTGGGCGGCCACAGCTGTCAGGATGGCGGTACAGGTGGCGGCTGCCTCAGTGCGCAGTGGGGGCTGGGAAGGGCCGCAGGGCCTGGGCTTCACATAGCCGGGATTCCTGGGAGGGGAGTGTGGCGGGAGAGCGCTGACTCTGGCTCCCGGACCTGGATCCCTGGATCCCTGGACCCGGGTGAACTGGTGAAGAAGACGGAGCCCAGAGGGGGTGGGAGGGAGCTGCCCTGACTCCAGACGGCTGTGCTGTGAGGCCCCGTGGCTCACGCGGCCCCTTTTTGAAATCCCCTTGCACGCTTCACGAGAAGGAAAAAGCCGTGTTCTTCTAACTCAGCATTAGGGCTCCATTTGCATGTGCTTACCCAGCTGACTGCTCCTTGGGGGCTGCCCCAGACCAAAGGCTTTGTGGGCTGGAAACGTGCGCATCGGTCTCATACAATAAACCGGGAGAAATCACTGCTGCCATCCAGCGGCCACACGTGGGATCCCAAACCCTGCTATGGCCTCTGACCTGTGACAAATTCATCTGTTCTGGTCCTGCAAGAAACAGTGGAGACCCCACTCTTTAATTTTCTGTGCTTTGGCTTAAAAAAATTAATAATAATACAACATTATACTCGAGTGGGAAAGTGAGTCTCTGGTTTGGGAATAGAAAAGAGGTTCATTTTCATGGCTATAGAGCAGGAATTCTCAACTGTGGATGGCATTTGGGAACGGATAACTCTGTGTTGTGGGGGCTGCCGTGTGCATTGTCGGATGTTCAGCAGCATCCTTGCCCTCTATGCACTAGATGCCAGTAGCACATCCCTCTCCCCAGTCTCAACAACCAAAATGTCTCCAGACACTGACAAATTCTGGAGACAAAACTGCCCCCTGTTGAGAACCACTGATGTAGAGAAAGCTGAGGGCCAGCACATCCTCTGGACACTGTGCCTAACTGAACTTTCAGGCGGCCAGAGTTACAGAGCCTCAGCCTTTCAACAGAGGACTGACCTGGAACTCTGGGTGGCTCCAAGTGGGGATGGGGAACAACAGGATCCCGGGAAAGCCACACCAAGGCTGTTTCATCTCCACAGATGGGAGCTGGGCCAGCAACCCCGTAGCATAGCATGGAGGGAGGGAGGTACCCCTGACTGGGGCAAGCACTTTGCCGAGGGCCCCCATGCTGCAGGAGCAAAGGCCAGGATAGCCAGCACAGCCATCCCAGACTGCGCAGAAGGCTCTTAAACAGCCTGCCTGCATGGCCTCTGTGGTCAGCTTATCTGTTGTTCACTTATTCAATACGTCTTGAGCACCTACTGTGTGCAGGTCCCTCTGCCAGGCCTTGGAGATAGAAAGATAAATTAAGGTCCCTGTGCATACACAGGTCATTAGGCTATAGTATGACATGGAGAAGAGACAAGAGGAGAGGCTATGGGAATATTTAGGAGTTTAGACCCCCATGCTCCATGGGGTTCCCTGAGGGTGGGCTGCCCAGTTGGGACCATGAGATGCTGACACTGTCTGTTGTTAGCCCAGCAGCCTTCCACTGAACTATCTGGAGACTCCTGAAGCAGGGACAAGCTCACCATCTGAGAGTCCTTGTCAGGTCCCTGAGCTAGCTATGGGGTCTAAGTCAGGCAGAGATGTTGGCCATCTCTCAGCCTCAGGGTCCGGGGTGGTGGTGGTTTCTGGAAGGCTCAGAGCAGGGCTGTCTCACTGTTTTGGACAAGATGACCACGGCCACCACCTCTTGACAGAAGGCCCTGGGATGCCTGGGAACCAAACACGCCAGCCTGAGTCACATGGGGTGGAGGTCTCTCTCCCACGGTTCTGAGGATCTCAGGATTCGTTTTTCCCCATTGCTCAGTTTTAATGAGCGAGTCAGTTTGCTGATTGTTTTAAACCAAGATGGGCCTCACTGGGATCATTCAGAGTGGGCTTAATGAGGGAAGAAAAACAACTGACAAGCAGGAAATGTGCCTGGGAGTCAGGAAGGTAGGGCTCAGCATTGCTTCTCAAGCTCTTTGCTGAGGACAGTGGCCGTGTAACAAGAGGAACTCAGCTACCACGTGGGTACACTTCACCCCCCACTTCCTCACATGAGGTTGGCACTTGCGAGGGGAGGCAAACCCCGATAATGCACAGCAGCAGAGAAGCCAAACTCCGTTGACACTTGAGTTTGATACGGAGCAAGAGAGAAGCCCTAGACCTTAGACAAAACATGTAGCTGGCTCAATCTCTGTTAGGGTGACCAACCACCCTGGTTTAGCATGGAATGACCCCTTAGGACCGTGCAAACCAAGACTCTCCCCAAATGAGTGATTCTTCCCCCAGGGGGCGAAGGTGGTCGGTAAGTGAGCCTGAGGGTGAGGTGAGCGCCATGGCGCGTGGATGGCTGGAAGAACTGGGCTCTGGGGGTTGGGAGACGTCTGTGTGCATCAGGAAGACGGCTGAGGGTTGAAGAGTTCCCAGGTCTCCACTTACTCCCTTTGCAAACTTTGTCCCCCCTCCTCAGAGCTGCGGATCTTGCTGCTGTGTGGCAGTGACCTGCTGGAGTCCTTCTGCATCCCAGGGCTCTGGAATGAGGCAGATGTGAGTAGCAAGATTAGGGCTACAGGGTGGGGGGTGGTGGAGGGGGGGAGCGCGTGGGGAAGCATGGGGAGGGGACACTTGATTTTGGCCTCTGGTCTTCCCTCCCCCCACCAGCCTCCCTCCCCAGCCTGAGTCTCCCAGCTCCTGTGAGCTCCCAGGAGGACAATCCTTTCACATCACTATGGAAGAAAATTCTCACCTACCCCAAGCTTTATCTCCTACTGCATTTTTCCACTCACCCCTCCTCTGCTTGCTCTTGTAAAGCCCCTGGGAAAAAAGCAATCTGAGTCCTAGAATACTTTCTCCAAGTAGTGCTTGGGGGTGTGTAGTGGAGGGGGTAGGTGGGGGAGGGAGGGATAAAAAAAAGCCTTTGCCCTTCTGAGATTATTGTGTGTTTTGTTTTCCTTTGATTCCTTTTGAAGAGGTAGTAAATACCACCCTAGAATTCCCTCAACAAGAGAAAAAGGGTCAAGAGGGGAGAAGTTAATGACAAAAGGTCAGTAGGATCCTTCTGGCAGTTGACTTGGGATCCAGGGAACCAGGAAGTTAAGCTTATACCAATGAGAAGCTCAGTCGACATCTTTTGTTGCCAGATCTGACTGTGATGGTCTTTTTTTTTTTTTTAAATTAACTCATTTTGTGATTTATTTTATTTTATTTTGTGTGTGTGTGTGTGAGGAAGATCAGCCCTGAGCTAACATCCATGCTAATCCTCCTCTTTTTGCTGAGGAAGACCGGCTCTGAGCTAACATCTATTCCCAATCCTCCTCCTTTTTTTCTCCCCAAAGCCCCAGTAGATAGTTTTATGTCATAGTTGCACATCCTTCTAGTTGCTGCATGTGGGACGCGGCCTCAGCATGGCCAGAGAAGCGGTGCATCGGTGCACGCCCAGGATCCGAACCCAGGCCGCCAGTAGTGGAGCGCACGCATTTAACCGCTAAGCCACGGGGCCGGCCCTGACTGTGATGGTCTTAAACCAGCTAATTCATAAGTTATTCACCCTTCATATGTACATTCATTCTTGTTCTTTCATTCATTCACTCATCTGATAGCCGGGGCTAGTGCTAGCTCCCAGTCCCATACCCCTGTGCGAGTTGGATTCTCAAGGCAGCAATTCCAGACCTAGTGCCTTTTTATTAATTTGCTGTGAGACCTCGTGCAAATCACTCAACTCCTCTGGTCTTCAGTTGTGGTGGGTTTTTTTCCAGTTTTATTGAGACATAATTGTTATACAACATTGTATTAGTTTAAGGTCTACAACATGATTTGATAGGTGTATATATTGCAAAATGATTATCACCATAAGTTTAGTTAACATCCATCACCTCACATAGTACAACTTGGTTTTTTTTGTCTATAACATCTGTAGAATGTTATCTATAGCATTTTGAGATTTTAAAGAAATATACAATACAGTCCCTGCCCCCAAGTATCAGGTGACAAGACTTATACATATGAACTTTATTCATGTATGTACATACGTATGTTCCTGGAGAGAGAGAGACGACTTTTAGGATCAGACTCAAAATTCCAGTTCGACTCCAACACAGTTTGTGACAAAATATATTCTGAGCATCAGTTTTTCGCATAAATCTCTAAAATGAGCATAGTAATAGTACCTACCTCATAGGATTTGGGGAGAATTAGATGAGATCGTGTACCTAAAGTGCCTAGCCTAGCAGGTGACCCTCAGTTACCTACAACAAATGTTAATAAGTGAATTTACCCAAATAGACACACAGACATACACGTGGTTATTCAAGGTGAAGGGCATAATGCTAACAGGCTGTGGGAAAACCAAGAGGGGAGGGAGAGTTTCAGGGAAGCAAATTATACTGTGTAGTCCTTTCATCTCCACCCCTGAATGATTTCCTGCAGGTGAAATTCTGGATTTCAGTGGCATAATCTTTCAGCTCTGCATTAAGTGGCATAATTAACTTTTACTTTCCTCTCTACTTCACAAAGTGCCGTGAAAGTAAAAAGTAATGCGGGCAAAGTCCTGTACATGGTCTCGGAGAAGCTCTTGTAAGACTCCAGTCAAATCTGGGCAATTGCCTGGGGCCGCATCCCGCAGGGAGGCCCTGACAGTCGTGGAGGGATTAAGTCGGCAGCTGGGGCAGCAGCCTGAAGGGCTGCTTGTAAGAGCAGGGAATCTCTGGGGCCTCTTTGCTAAGTGTGACATGTGATGTGTGCCTCTCAAGGGCAGACGCAGGCTTCGTGGGGCCTGAAAGTTACACAATTTGGGGCCCCTGAAGCACGACCAGTCCCTCTTTGTTCCTCTCAGTTAGACTGCTGACTACAGGTCCTCTAACTTCTCTCCAAAATGGCTACTCTTGATATTATCAGATCAGATATTTGAAAACAAGGAAAAAGAGCTCAAGTCTCTCCTCTTCTGATTGGTCCCTGGAGCTGAAATGACATGTTGGTTAAGACAGAAAAATCTGAGAAACCCACAGCTGTTGGTTTACTCGGAATGTGACGGTGGAGGTGGAGTGAAACCCTCGTCTACTTGACCATGTTCCCCCTTAACCAACCAAGATGGTGGGTCACCTTGGAGATCCAGGGTGCCCAGCCTGGCTACTCCAAGAGGGCACAACAGTTCTAAGCCAGCAGGGACTCTGCATCTGTCCTGTCTGGGGTGGTGAGAATTCCAGTCCACAGCCCAGGCAGCAGGGGACTTGGGTGAAGCCAACCCTCAAGGCTGACTCCAGACGGCTTTCTAGAGCCTAAAACTCTTCCTTCCCGCTCCACCAGCCGATTGCTTAGTCCCCTGATTCAACCCACAGTCAATCTGTGGGGTCCTTAGAATCATGGCGTCTGAGGTAGAGGCATAAAAAGAATCAAGAAGCTGTTTCCTTATATAATGAGTGTGAATCTCAGCCCACAACAGAGGTGTGCCAGAAATATCACATTTGATTTATTTAAATCAAATTAAAATTCAAATCTCTATCCTACAGGGACGATGGGAAGTTAGCAGACCCTGAGAGGCTCTTGTACACCCTGAACATGAACGTCGGTTCACCAGGGTCCCCACAGACGTCTCTTGTGGTCCTCGTGGTCCCTTTAAGTTGGTGGCACTCTGCTCCACACCCACCTGGGGCACAGGACTCCTGGCTGAGTCTGGAAGCCCAGCTTGGGCCCCACCACCTCTGATCACCAGGCCCCATTTTCTTCTGAGGCTTTGCCCCTGGGATGCTGTCTGAGAGGGAGGAGGGGGCAGGAGTCACAGATCTCTAGCTTCTTTCTAGTATGTGGGAGTGGGGGGCAGACAGCGGAACCTCTTCTTTTTATTCCGAAGGTACCTCCCCTATTTTCTCTCCTCTCCTAGGGATATCTAGTGAAATCTCTTCAGTGAGTTTAAAGCCATTGACTTCAAAATGTTCTGTTTTCTGCCCTGCAAATTCGTCTCCTAAAAGGTCTTGTTCTCTGCTAGAAATCAAGTTGGAGCTGGGCACAAAGGGAGATCTAGGGAGCAGGAAACTAGTTAGGAACTCAGTGAGTTATTCCACTGTCCTTATTTGGGGAAGGTTGGGTCTCAAGGACTAGAAAGGGAAGGTCTTTCTTTCAAAACTGGGCACAGGGTAAGCCCTGCTTATTCTGCTAGAAAGTTCTACCATCTGGGGTTTGCCTGGAAGTGGCCTGTTCTAGGGATTTCATTTCCTAACTGTGAGACTACCAGCGTTGAGGTATGTGAGCCCTGCTTCTACACCAGGTTTCATTCTTTCATTCAACGCTTTATCAGAACACATTTCTCTTTATTACTTGGTGTCCCAAGTAATACTTGTTGGCTGCAGACCTCTGCTCAGTGACCATAAGCCCAAAGCCCTGAGTCTGCCCATGACTGGGAACAGAAGGTGGGAAGGAGAGCAAAGCTTGACAAGTCCTAGGCCCTGACTCCGCATTCCAGTCTCTCACATATTCTCCAGAATCCTCAGAAACAAGGCAGGAGAGAAGCCACTAGATCAAACAGGTCTGGGGAGAAATAGGAGTCTCTCCACGCCCCCTGTAGAGAACGCTCAAAGGGGGCTGTGGAGCAGCATTGACCCCACCCAGGCTGGGAACCAGCTGAGACAGTCTGTTCTACGGCAGGACTGCCAAGGCCTCTTCCGTCGCAGTCACAAACTCTCCACTTACTTGGTCTTGCTCTTTCACTTTGGATTCCTGAACCAATGCTCTCCATCCAGAAATCTAATTACACAGCTAAAGGGACAACCCCACCCCAACCCAAACTCATCCCTTGGGCATTTCCTATTAGGCACAAAGATCCATTAGCCCACAGTGAATTCTGACCTCCTCTGACCAATGACACACCCCTTCCCCTTACATTCCATGGACAGAAAATTCCGTACATATTCATCGTTTCTCTCCAGGGAATACACAAGAGCTCTTTGTGTGGCCTGCCAGTTGGCATTTTCATTCTTGATTCCTAAGGACAAGATCTGGGTTCCTGGACCAGCCCTTTGAGATCAGGACCCAGCCCCATTAGTCCAACCCCTTCCCGGATTTTTTGTTAGGGAACTAGTCTCCCCCAGGAGACCTGATCTTTGCTGCGCTGCATCCTGATACTAGCACCAATGCAACATGCAGGCTTGGACCAGGATCTGTGGGAAATCAAGGTCAAAGGCTGAAGAGTCAGCCATGGACAGATTTATAAAGCAGGAAACTTTTATACACACTCCCTTCCCCCCAACAGAACCCCTTGTCTAAGGTCTTATACTGCCAGCTGCTTTGTCCATCATATTATGATAGAAGGCAGTCTGGCAAATTAATTCTGATTCAGGTGTTTCCTTCAATCCATGTTTCAACTAATACTTACTGAGCGCCCAGTAGGAGTATAAGCATGTTATTTGCCCTTGAGGCACTTGCAGTCTAAAAATATCTTACTTTTTATTATATTAGTTCTTTATATTACATGAGACAAAACATGTAAAAAGTTTAGAAGAGTTTCTGAACCTAGTAAGCACTCAATAAATGTTGGCTGTTATTCATTCATTTATTTTAAAATGTTGATTGAGTACCTACCATGTGCCAGACGCTGTTCTAGGGAGGAAGAATGAAAACAAAATAGACAAGTTTCCCCACTGTGTACACTTTACTTTCTAGTGGGTGAGGCAGACAGTAAACACTTTGAGTTGTTCTCATGGATTATCTCGGTGAACCCCTGGAACACTCCTGTGAGGTGGAATCTCTATTCCCATTCACAGGCATAGAAACCAGGGCTCGCATGTACTGTAACTTGTCCAGGATCATGTAGCTGTTCAATAGCAGAGCTGGACTTTGCACAAGTCTTCAGATCCCTAATCCAGATATGACAGACGAGGGAGAAGAATGATATATGTAATTGATAGCAGGCTGCGAGGGAGGAGAGGGCACTTGACCTGGGCTTTGAGTGATGGGCAGGATTGGGTTAAGTGGGTGGAAAGAGAAGGGCTTTTTGGGCTGAGAGGAGGCTGTAAAAGACCCAGTGGTGGGAACAAGACCTTCTAGGGAGATGGTTCTGGCAGAATGAAGTAGAAGGTTTATCTTGGTCTTTATTTGAGGAGGTTTTGACTTTTGAGCAAGTAGGCAAAATCATTAAGTTTAATAATTAAATGAATTAGCTGCTCTCAAAGGGTACTTGAGTTTTAAATGAGCAAGGGTCAATGTTTAACCCAAAGGAGTGAAAATCTAAAGGTGGAGCATTAGGCACCAGACATGGGCCAACGAGGAAATTGTTTTTTCTTTTTTTCTTTTTCTTTTTCTTTGCTCTTCTCAAAGCCCAACATTCCACAGGCTGGCTCTAATTGGCTGTATCCTACATTTTTCCAGCCAACCATCCATGGGCTAACTGCTTCCTACATCCACCAACTATGGGAAAACAACCAAAGAAAACAAACAGAGGAAGAGCCTGGGGCACTGGCCCCTCCAGAAGAAATCCCAGGGCTCCAGGACAAATGGAACAAAGACAAACATTTGGTTTTTCAGGCTCAGATGGTTTTTATCAGACAGTCCAGCCCCAGCCAGGAAGCTCGATGGACACTTCCACCCCAGGGATTAGGCCCCCGCACTGATAAGCCTGATGCCGAATTTACAGGCTCTGAGGAAGGAGGCTCGCCTATGGGAGATTCTCGTGTGAAAGGCACTGTTGGCTTGGTTTTCAGGCTTTCGACTTCAGTCTGGAATCCCCTGCCTTCCCACACCCCCAGTCAAACTGGAAATGGGAGTGAGGATGATTTCCTCTGGGAAACACCTCTGAAGGATCATTCATTCATTTGCACTAAGAGAGCATCCTGGAAATGCGTTCCCATCTTCTCAACTCTGACCACACTGGCCTCTGCCCGGCCTTCCCTCCAGAGAGGAGCAGGGGCCAGAACAAGGGTGGAGGATTCTTTATGAAAATGGGTGGAGCATGTTTCAGGAGCTCCTCACCGACTGCTTCTGCTGGGTGCTCCCTCCTTGCATCTTTTTTAACCCACTCAGAAGTAGTATACGAAATTATATACTCCAGGGGGTCATGTAGAGCAATGAACTGAGGCTTCAGCCCACGTTGGGCATCGTGATAGGAGAAAAAATAAGATAGAATATATTTTCAAACCACAAATTTTCAAGTCACTAAAACATGAGTCTTAAAAATGGATCTAGAAGAGACGTGATGTGGAGGAAAGAACATTTAAGGCAGACCAGAGGGGGTTGAAATTCACTTACTAGCTGTGCGACTTGGACTAGTGACTATATCTCACTGAGTCTGGGTTTCTCCATCTGTGAAATGAGAACTGAGGCACATGTCTCAGAAGATAGTTGTTGCAAGGGTTAAATGCAATAATAAATAAAGCTCCTAGTACTGTGCCTGGTGCATAACAGGTACCTTAATAAATGTGTCTTCCCCTCCATGTTCATCCCTGAATATCCTCATCTGGAGGAGAAACACAAGTGGGCCCAAGTAACTCATGTACTGTACCTTGAGAAGAGAGCACTATTTGGGGGAGACAGTCGGGATTCTGAACCTTGATTTCAGAACGATCCTACAGAGGGTCTTACCAGTTAGGTTGCCTGGGTAAGTCAACATAAATTGGATCCTTTTGCTAATGGAAGTCAAGCCCTCTATTTAAAACACTCCGGTGGCTTGTCTTTGCAACTGGAATGAAATCCCATCTTTATCATGATCTGGTCCTTGTCTAATTCTCGCACCTCTCTGTGCTCCAGTTCCACCTTGTTTCTTTATTTGAACGGTTTTTCACACCTCAGGGCCTTTGCACTAGCTGTGGCCTTATTGGGAATGCTCTTCCCCCAGGTAACCCTATGTCTGGCACTTTCTTGTCATTTAGGTTTTAGCTTAAAAGTCATTTTGTTTTATATTCAATATTGTACTTAGCTCCACCTGGTGTTTTCTTATTTATGTATTTATTTGTTTATGATCTCACCCTACTAGAAGGGAAGCTCTGTGAGCACACTAAACTTGCCTGTCTTATTTGGCAACACCAGGACAGTGCCTAGTTTGCCATATATACTCAATAAAAGTTTGTTGAATGACAGAATGAAAGGGTACCTGGGAGCAGCTTGGTTGGAACAGTTTAGCCCATCAGATAGTTTGCCTCTACCATGAGATGTGGCCCAAATTTTTGCCAGTTACCCATAAGATATTAACCACTACAAGATATTAATCACCTACCAATGACCTCCGCTCATCCTTCAAAGCCATATGGTTGAAATAATTAAGATAATTAATCATTTGGTTAATGTCTCCCACTAGATAGTGATTGATCCAAGAGATGAAGCCATATCTGTCTTGCTCAACCCTCTGTCCCTGGTGCCCAGGAAAGTGCCTGGCTAAGACCATAGACATCCTCCCACCCAAAGCATCCCTGATATCCAGCAGGGCAGGTCTTGAAATTCAGCCTCCTGGAGGAATGATGATAATTCCACATTCCTTCCAAGAGATTTGCTGCCTGGATCATCATGAGTGTTCTCTCTCCCAAGGCCAAGTTGCTTCCTCCTCGACATGTCTTATATCCTTCCCTCAGATTCCCCACATTTGGGGAAGCGGCATCTGCCACCTCCCACTTCCTCTCCTCATCTCCACCCCTGCATCCCCTGGGGAGCCTTTGACCAGAAGATGAAAAGATATGCTCAAAGCTGTGCCTAGGAGCAGGAAGTTGAAGCAGGATGAGTGTCCCAGACCCCCACCTCTGAGACATGACGCAGGCCAGAGCTAAACTGAGAGGGCCACTGTCTGCTGTGGGGGGAGAAGATTGTACCCTGCCCTGCCCACTGTGGTGTGGCAGTGTGAGGTCACATTGGTCACCATCAGGAGAGAGACTTGTCAACCAAGACAGCCATGCTGCATTGACCACTCATTCACCCACTCCCTACCTCCAAGGCAAGACCTGCAGAGAACTCTTCATGAAGACACAGGAGGTGTTGGACCCATCATGCTGGAACAAGAGCTCCGTCCCAGGGACCTGGACACACTCCTGCAGGCTCCATAGGCAGGGAGAGCCTGAGTAACCTTCTGTTTCCTGGGGTGAGGTGTCTGCCCTAACTGCCCCCACTCCCCAGGGCAGATGGGGGATGTCCTCACTTTTGCTGGAATCCCCAGAGGTACTCGTCCCACAGTATCTCATTTTGACCTCATCCGAAACCAAGCCAGAATATTAGCAGCTTAGGCCTATGTGATTTAAAGCAACAATTTCCCACAGGTGGGTGCACATCAGAGGGATTAGGGAGCTTGGCAAAAAGAGAAGCTCCAGCCCATCATAGACATGTTGTATCAAAGTCCCTGGGGTGAAGTCTGAGGGATCTGTTGTTTTTGTTGTTGTTGTTTCTAAAGCTCCCCCAGGTGATTCTGCTGACCAATCAGATCAAGTTTGGGAACGTGCAAAAGTAAGATCACCCTTGCATGTCATAAGGACCTGAAAGTCTATCTTTAGAGTCACTTCCTTGGGTCTCCCAGAGATCCCATGGATGGGCTTCCCTCCATGTCCTGAGACAGGGAGATTGTATTAGCTAACGCCTCAGTGATAACTGCCCAGAGAAGACTGCAGGAATCACCTATTCAACAGCACCTACTGAGCATCTATGATGTGCCAGGTCCCTTTCACCTGGACACATGACAATAAACAAAACACACAGAAATCCCTGCACTCATGGAATTGACCTTTATAGGAGAGAAAGAGACAAAAATGGGGTTAAACAAAGAAAATATACGTGTTAGGTGGAGATAAGTGCTAAGGAAGAATATGAAGCACAGAAGAGGGTAGGGACTGTGGGAGTGTGGGAGTGTGTGGGTCTATGCACACGGGGATGCAAGTTGAAATAGCGTGGCCAGAGACGGTCTCACTGAGAAGTGATATTTAAGTGAAGGCTTTTGAGCCAAGGAGAACATGACTTACATTTTAATGTTATCAATCTGCCTATTGGGAAATGACTGAAAAAGGCAAGAGAGAACCAGGGACACCAGAGCAATCCAAGTGAGAGATGATGGAGGTGAATTAGTTTTCTGTTACTGCAAACTTGGTGGCTTGAAACCACACAAATTTATTCTCTTACATTTCTGGAAGCCAGAAGTCCAAAATAGGTTTTGCTGGGCGAAAATTGTTGTTGGCAAGGCCAGTATTCCTTCCAGAGGCTCTAGGGGAGAATCTGTCTCCTTGCCTTTTCCGGCTGCTAGAGCTGCATTTGTTGCATTCCTTGGCTCATGGCCCCCTCTTCCGTTTTCAAGGCCGACAGTGTAGCATCTTTAAATCTCTCTCTACTCTGTCTTCACATCATCCTCTCTCTTCTGTGTTAAATCTCCCTCTGCCTCCATCTTATAAGGACACTTATTATTGCATCAGGGTCCAGCTAGATTATTCAGGATAATTTCAAGATCCTCAGTTTAATCACACCTGCAAACTCTCTTTTGCCATATAAGGTTATATTCACAAGTTCTAGGTATTAGGACCTAGATATCTTTGGGGGCCATTATTTAACCTTCCAAAGGAGGCTTGGACCAGGATAGAAGTGATGAAAGTGGTGAAAAATGAGCAGATTCTTGGATTTATTTTGAAGATGGAGTCAATTGGGTTACCTTATACATTGACTGTAGGACGTGAGAGAGAGAAGAATCAAGGAAAAACGCCAAAGCTTTGGCCTGAGCATTTGTAAGAGAGTTTCCACTTACTGAAATGAAAAAGACTATAGGAAAAGCATTTTTGGGGGTAGGGGGGAATTGAATGATTGATGTCAGAGGGTTCAGGGGATCATGGACATTTTATGTTTGAGATGTCCCATCCAAGTCGGCAAGTTGAAAAGCTGGATATATGAGTCTGAAGTTTGAGAAGTCTGTGCTGGAGGTATTCATTTGGGAGCCTTCAGTGTGTCTTTAAAGCTTTGAAATTGAGTGAAATCATTAAGGGTGTGAGTATAGATAGAAAAAAAAAGGAAGTCCTGGGACTGAGGCTGGGGGATTCCAATGGTTCAAGGTCAGGGAGTCGAGAAAGAACCAGCACTGGCGAGGTAGGAGGACAACCAGGAGAGGGTGTTGTCCTGGGGGCTGGGTGAAGACAAGAAACAGGGTATAGGGGTGGGAATAGGAAGGACAGCTAAGCCCCTGGAGGGAGATGGGTACTCATGGGACGAGGGCACCTCCTTCTAGCCCAAACACACACCCACACAAACACCAGCATGAAAATTAAGCCCATGCCCTAGGTCTGGCCAAAGAAGCAGAAAAAGTCTGCAGTCTCTGGTCCAGACCCCTGCAGAGATGCCGCTTGGGTGTGGTAAAGCTGTGTGTCTCGTCTCTGTCGCCCTATCTGTGATTCCCAGGGGGCAAGTCTGTCATCTGTTTCTGGAAAAGGAAAACATCTCAAGCAGCAAGGCCTCCATCTGCTTGTCACCCACTGAGCCGCCTGGCACTGTTATTGATTGGGGGCTCAGATCATTAGTTCCTAAGTGGAAAGCAGCAGCTGCACTAATGTCATCCACAGGGCGATTCCCCCATGAGGCCTGACTGCCATTCTGGGCCATCGTTTTCATGCTTTAAACTAGAACACTCACTTCAAATAGCCCATTATTTCACACACCCCCATATATGAAACATCCATCAAAGTCTCAGAATCAAATTGAAGGCAGATCCTACATTATGCAATGTATACCAGATATCTTGAAACATCTATACAGCCAGACAGTTGAGAAATCTCTGTATACCAGCTTGAATGGATTCTCCTCCCCTCCCCTCCCTTCTCTTTTCTATCTCTTTCTCTACCCTACCAATTTCCCTGGAGTTTTAATTCAGCACTTAGACCACTGGTTCTCAAGCTTGGTTGCATATTGGAATCACCTGGGGAGTTTGAAAAACTATTGATGATGCCTTGGTCCCATTCCCAGAGATTCTGATTTAATTGATCTTGGGTGTGAGTTGGGCTTTGGGAATTTTAAAAGCTCCTCAGGTGATTCTAATGTGCAGCTAAGTTTGAGAACCAGTGCCTTAGGTTATATTCTTTATTATAATTTTATTTATTTTTTTCCCCCAAAGCCCCAGTAGATAGTTGTAGGTTGCATATCCTTCTAGTTGCTGTATGTGGGACGCGGCCTCAGCATGGCCAGAGAAGCGGTGCGTCAGTGCGCACCCGGGATCCGAACCCAGGCCGCCAGCAGCAGAGCGCGCGCACTTAACCGCTAAGCCACGGGGCTGGCCCCGTTAGGTTATCTTCTGAGTAGTGAAACTCAGTGCAGTGTTCTAACAGCTATGGCAGAGGAACTGGCTCTACCTCCAACTCCCTGCCCTGCCCCTCCCTAACATTCCTGGTTTAAAGGACAAACACTTGGTGCCAGTTTACCCCATCTGAACACCACGGATAGATGCAGCATGTTGTGTAATGCTCTGTATTTTCCAAATGGCGTGATCCAGTGGGGGCTTTGATAGTCTACACCTAGCTTTAACTTCTATCCACAACTTCCCCGCTAGGGCACCTTCAACCAACTTTTTATTTCCGCAAGATCAGCGTTCCAGTGGCAACTCCAGCTCTAGTTGTAAGAATGGGAAAAGTAGGGTAAAGGTGAATGGAAATACCCAAGGGCATCCATGCGCACACACATGCACACACACGCACACACGCACACATAATCAATGAGTCAGACTTGGAAGTGGAATTCTGCTGGTACAGAAATCTTCTGATAGAAAAGAACTGGCCACAGTGCTCCATAATGTCTGTTTTTGTGGCGCTTGTTTGCAGAATTATGAGGAAAACCTAGGTCCCTTGCCACCAGCACAGGTCTTGCTCAATGAGCTGCTTAGATGCAACCTGCCTCCGCCTCCCTTCTCCCCCCATCTGGGATCCTTAATTGGCAAGATCTAAACAGTAATATGCCCAGGCTAGATCCAAGTCTATTAAATGCCGTAAATTTCAGGATCTTTGAAAATAAAGATCGGCATGAGTTTCCAGAAAGCAACTTGGTGATATGTCTCAAGAGCTTGAAATATATCCAGTTTATATCCTTTCATTCATTCAAGCAATTATATTGCTTCTTATCCTAAGGAAATAATCAGACATGTGGTAAAAGATTTATGGATAAAGATCTTCAACAAAGTGTTATGTGTAATTGCAAAAAATCAGAAGTAACTGTACACTTTCTATAATACAAGATTGGTTAAATATATCATAGTACAGTCAGACAATGAAATATACATGTTGTTACAACTTAATTTTTTAAATAATTTTTAATGATGTGAAAAAATGCTCACAATATAATGCTAAATGAAAAAATGCAGGTAAAATGATTAATTTTGCAGCTTAATCCAATTGTGGATATATACACTTATTTGTAGAGAGAAAAACACTGCGCAAAAATAACAGTGTTAACAGTGGTTATCTGGATTGTGTGATTGTGATTGATTTTTTTTCTTCTGAGTTTCCCAAGCTTGTATTGTGTCTACAATCAGAAAAAATATATATTTTTTTAAACAAAAAGGTTTCATTTCTCATTATGGCGCAAGCTTCTATCAGAGGCTGATCTCCCAAGTGGCCCCATAATAATCTTCCTCCTATCGCCGCCTGTGCACACACTGATGCATTCGAAGCCCTTCCCTGCCCTTGAGTCCCGCAGGAGCTTTGATGTGGGTGAGCCAGGGGAGCATTCCAGCCCCTCTCGGTAGTCCAAGTAGGGGCTGAGATATGCTTGCTGGGCAACAGGGTCTGTGTTGATCATGAGGGTGTCTACCAGATAAGGACTACGTGTCATTCATGTTACTCTTCAGCATTATGAACTCAACAGGAGCCTCAGGAATTGCAGAGATCTTGCCCAGACATGCAGGAGCACATTCGTTCATTCTGGAGGTATCTATTAAGTGTCTTCTGCGTGCCAGGCAAAGTTTCCACTCATTCCACTAACACTGTTATGGGTTGTTACTTGAAAGAATTGACTGGCAGGGCTGAGAAGGCAAGTTTAGGGCTAAAGCTTGGGGCACCACATGGATAGCTCCACCCTGCTGAGTAGTTGCTGCGTAGGGTTTGGAGTCATGGTCTCACCAAAGGACGCACTCTCTCTCTCTCCCTGTTTCTTCAGATGGAGGTGATTGTTGGGGACTTTGGGATCGTGGTGGTGCCCCGGGATGCAGCCGACACAGACCGAATCATGAATCACTCCTCAATACTCCGCAAATACAAAGTGAGTCCTCCATCTCCCTGCTGGTGCAGCTCTGTGACGTGGCGCCTTTTCTGAGAGGCCTGGAGGGGCTGGAAGAGTAAGGGTGCAAAAGGAGACTAGTGTGAGGGGCTGCCAACCTACTGTCTCTGCTCTATCCCCAGAACAACATCATGGTGGTGAAGGATGACATCAACCATCCCATGTCTGTTGTCAGCTCAACCAAGAGCAGGTATGTTTGACAAATGGCCAGAGAGACCTTGGTCAAACTGGCTTACAAGTTTCCATACAACTTTCCTCAGGCCAAGCTGACCTTTAGATTGGCTGGCATCTGCTCCCAATGTTCAGCCTTTTGTTTGGACCTCATTTATTTGTACCCAATCACTTATTTTTCAAGGGAGATAGGTGAATAGCTAGCTGGTTTGAGGGGGAAAGAGGGTATTTTTAGTTTTGGGCTCTTTAGTTTGAAGTGCTTATGGAATACTGTATTAGTCAATGTATAGGCTAAGCTGCCATAAGAAAAGGACGCCCAGTAGTCAGAGTTTTAAATAAGACAAATGTTTATTTCCCTCTTACTGAAGTCAAAAGAGATTGAATCTCTGGCCTCTTCAAAATGAAGCCTCCGTCTCTGGGTCTACAACTGCAGCAGTGACTGTTCTCAAGCAGTGAGAAAGGGCAAGGCAAAGTCCATGGCAAGGAGTTCACCTTTAAGAAGGTGGCCCAAAGTTGGACGTTATCACTTCCCCTTGCATCCCCCAGCTCAGCCTCAGTCACGTGGCCATACCTAGCTTCAAGAGAGGCTGGAAAATAGACCTTATAGCTTGGCGCCATGTGCCCAGCTAAAACTCAGGAGGTTCTATTACTAAACAGAAGAGGGAAAGAATGGATGCTAGGGGCCAGTTAACAGTCTCCACCGCAAACCCCTTGTGGAAGTGTCTGGTGGAATGGTGAGATGTATGGAATATAGAGGTCAGGAAGTGTAATAAAACTGAAAGCCATGAGCATGTAAATGTAAATTAAAGTTAGGAGTGCGGCTGAGCTCACAGGGAGAGTCAAGAAGAAGGCTATGGGGAACATTAAGCATTTTAAAGAAGGCTAAGAAGCAGTCAGAAGCCACCAGCAGTGGTGGCCCTGGAACCAAGGCAGGAGAGGGTACAAAAATGGAGAGCATTGTCATCTGTCTCACATGTTTCAGAGAAATCAAATGAGCCCAGGACTTGAAAATGTCCACTGGACTTCTTCCCTGGAGGGCAATCATGTAGACACTTGACAGAGTAGCATCAACTGTGAGGTTAGGGCAGAAACCCAATGACAACGGCCAGTGAGGGGAGTGGGAGGTTGTGGTTCCAAATATGGCTACACAATAGAATTACCACGAACACTTACACCACGGCACAAATTCCTGTGTCCCATTCGGTCTCACCGAATCAGAATTTCTGGGGGTTGAGCCTAAGGATCTGCTTCCTGGATGATTCTGATGAAGCTGAGATTGGCATTTGGAAACTACAGGTATAGACCACTTTTTCAAGAAGCCTCCCTGTAAACTGTGCAGGGCGGCACTTGGGGACCTAGCTTGCTTGTAAGATCAGGACAGTGGATGCATTGAAAAGGCAGTGAGCCTGCCTCATAGGGGCGATCTCACAGGGCAGGGCTCAAATGCCTTTTAGAATCTAGACCCCTGGAGGAGTATATGAAGTTTCACAAAGAGCTCCTTGAGATCTGACATTCCCAAGACCTTCATATGAGAATGGGAAGCAGCCAGACCAAGGTTGGAGCAAAACTGTGCAGAAAGCAAAGTGTACCACTGCAGCCCTTTTGTACCTGGTTAGTGCCTTCTTCCACAGCCCCTAGGACTTGTGAGAAGGGCCTCAGAGAAGGACAACCTCTTCTCTATCAGGGCTCCAATAGAAAGGAGAGAAAGTAGTCAGCTATAAGAACCCCAATGAGATTCATTTTCATGAGACCACAGTGCAGAGAAACACAAAGGATTGAAATAAGAATAGCTAACACTTATATTTAAATGCCTAGGGTGCTTGGGCTATATTCTAAGTGCTTTGCATAATGACTCATTTAATCCTTTTAGTAACTGAATGAGATAGGCCCAAATATTACTCTCATTTTACAGAGAAAACTGAAGAACAGATAGACTTAAATAACTTGCCCAAGGTCTTTCAGTTAGGAAGTGGCAGAGCCAGGATGAAATGGAGTCACTAGGATGGGGGAGGAATTGTAGGGGCAAGAGGGCTTTTCCTAATAGGGGCTACCATTTACTTGGCCTAAGCAAAGGCTGGTAAAGGAGTGTTGCGTAAACCCTTTCCCTGGAAGAGAGTGGGCAGGCCAGTCTTGCCTTGCTTCAGGGAAGGATGTCCATCTGATTACCGTCTCTTCTCCTCCAGGCTGGCCCTGCAGCATGGAGACGGCCATGTCGTGGATTACCTGTCCCAGCCGGTCATCGACTACATTCTCAAGAGCCAGCTGTACATCAATGCCTCGGGCTAGCGGCCACACAGCCCTCTGCTCCACTCTCCCCTCGTCCTCTGCCAACACACTGGCCCCTCCAGTCTCTGTCAGTCCCCGTTTCTCTCCTGCCTCTCTGTTTCTCCATCTCCTCATCTTGACTGTTCTCCCAACTTGCTGACTCAACCCCCCACAGTGTGGGGGACCTGCAGAGAACCAAGGCATACCCTATTCCGCAGTCATCTTTGGACAAACTTTCCTCTAGTCTCCGGGTTGAGCGTGGGTGAGGGGATAAGGGTGGGAGTTGGGGGAAGTGCAATCCTTGGAGATGTGCTGGTGTCCGTCTCCCAGCATGCTCTAGAGAGCGGCTCTGGTGCCCATCCTCCCAGCATGCTCTGGGGAGGCGGCTCTGGCTCTCGCCTTCCCAGCATGCCCTTTACCACGAAGGGCTATTTTTCTTTCTGTTTTTTGTTTTTTGTTGTTGTTGTTCATTCCTCATAGAACTTGGATGAAATCAGTGTCCGTGATTCTTTATGTTTGTAGTCTTGATGCATTCCTGTGGGATTACTTTCCTTTTGATAGGATACTGTAGCCAGCCTCAGCACTTGGTCAGTGTGTGAAGGCCACACCCAGTAAAGAAGGCCGAGCCACCTCCGCTTTCCCGACACCCCCCACCCAACTACCCACTCACTCACACACACACACACACACACACACACACACACACACACACACACATGGCGGCAGCAACAGCAGCAGTTTGGGGTCAGGAGTGAGACTTTCTGAAACCTGGGATGCAAGTCTGGGAATAGTAGGGTTCCTCAGAAGACTTTGAGTCCATTTTCCTCAGTTTCAGAAGACCATTTTCCTAATCCTCGGGGCCTAATATCACACAGAACCAGTCCAGCCTCATTTTCTGGTGGCATCTGTACAGTTACTTGTTTGGGCTCTGACTGATGGCAGAGTGTGGGTTCCCTGCCAGCTGAGGGCATTTCCAAGGGAACATCAGATCACCATCAAAGCCCTTACGTGCTACACCATCAAGGCCATACTTAGCCACATTCCTGCATCTGAGAAGAATCACGTATGCAAGGCCAAATCCTAATAATGCAGTCATTTCTTAAATAAAACATGCTAGGAATTTACTCAACCCTAGAAACCTTTGCTAATTGGAATTATTTATTGCCCGTTTGGTTGAGAAATGTCTCTGTCATAATGTAAGTCCAGGATGACCTAGGAGAAAGCAATTTGTTGCCCTGATGGGAAATACTGACTCTTAGCCACTCTAGCTGCAACACAGGCAGTGCTTGAGGTCAATTCCTTCCTGAGAAGCAGTGCCTTGGCCTTGTTTCTGGGGCTGCTCATGTCTCCTGCAGAGCCCAGCAACAAGTCATCGCCTGAGGAAGTCTGCCTGGTAGGGGAATGGGTTCACAGAACACAGATCATGAAGGGCATCAAGAGCCATTAAACTGTTTTATTCCTCTTCTCCCTAATTTCCCACCTTCCTCTGCTGCCCCCAGAAACAGTTTTGACAGACCCTGTTCTCGTTGTTCAGGCTGCCTCATTCATGTCCTGCTTGGAGAGCCAAAGGAAATTAGCCTCTTTTGCTCTGTGTCTCTCATCTGGTCTCTGGCTCTTGGGTTTCTGGTTGTCTTTGAGGAACGGTCCCCAAGCAGCAGGATAATTTTATCAAAATCTAGTACTTCCAGCTATGGCCCGGGAAGGGTTGGGTGCGATCAGACACCAGGGACAACGTTCTTCACCACACATTTCACATCTGCAACCTCCCTCAGTAACGTCCAAGAAAAGGAACTGGATTCAACAGAAGAATATGGTTGAGTGGTATCCAGGAGGGTATTATTCCTCTTGGGTTATGGAAATCACCTCCAGAGGCGGGAAGGAAGATCCTATTCTTGGGTCTCAGTGTTTGGCTAAGGATCATGGAATCATGAATGAAAAAAACCACAGAGATTAGTTGATCCAACATTCTCCTTTAAAAGATGAGGGAGCAGAGGTCCACTGGATTAAATGGCTGGTCCAAGGTCACATAGCAAGTGTAGAGCCTGGTAAAAGGATATTGTCTCCCTGACCCTTAGGTCATCACACCACATGATCTCTGCTCCTCCAGTTCCCCATGACACTGACCAAGTAACATGTGGTTTTCAGTCTCTACCTGGCACCTTTCTCTTAAATTATGTCTATCCCAGGTGTCCCTATATATGGCATTGTGTATGCCAGTCCTGGGGGAGGATGTGATGGTGAGGAAGGCCATAGCTAGGTTTCCTTAGAAATCAAGAGATCTGAACAGCTTGGAGGAAATCCTGGAAAGTGACCCTCTGAATCCAAGAAAGGATTGCTTTGTGGAAGGCTAATAAAGACCCAGAAATTGCTCAGGATGACACTGGTGCTGGAACGAGAAAGACAGAAGAGCCTTTGTCTAGGCAAAACAGCCAGGAAATGAAAGGAAGGAAAACAGCAAGCTGGATTCCTTGGAGGAACAGCGTTTTCAAGGTTATGAAGTTTATGGATAGAATTTATTATGAGGATCCATGTGAGCATGTCCAAGAAAGACCAGATATCTTTTGTCTCTTTTGTCCACTCTGTTGCTCTGCTGGACTCTGTGGTCAAGCCCCGTTTAGTCCACAACCCATGACAGGGAAGTGGGCTGGTTCTATGCATGCAACGTGGGAGCTGGAAGGCACATGGGAGGGGAGAGTGAGATAAGCTAAGGAAAAGAACAGGGCAATAGCAGAAGTAGATTTCTAGGAATGAAATGGGGCAGATCTTATCTTGGTGTATCACAGGGGTCATGTTAAAATAGCTTTCCTTTAATACAAGGAAGAGAGAATCCCCTTTTGGGTAGAACTGTCCATTCCCCTGCCTGCCCCATTCTTCATTTGCTAGGGAGAGGTCAGAGCCCCTCTCTCAGTCCAGGGCAGGACATTATGGCTGTGACCCAGCCAAGGCCAACATCAGAAAGATGATTCAGAGTTGGAAGTAGTACCCCAGGTGCCAACAGGATGACCTCTGGGGTCCTGCTCCTTCCTAAAAAGGCCAACCCAAGGCTGGCATGGCTCAGAGATTGTGAGAAAGGCATGGGCTGGAATGAGCATGTCAAGAGGGGTCTGGAGCCTCATTTCCTGCCTACCAATAAAAAATGGTCCTCCCATTTCTCTGAAAGTGGCTGACATGAGTAAGAAAAGGCAGGAGGGGAACCCTTTGTGTCAATGAATCTTTCCTCAAGGAATGGCCCTCTGGGGGGTCTGTGCTGCTAGCTGGTACCTCATTTGCCACCCCCCCCCCCAACCCCAGGCAGCATCTGGGGACTTCTTGCTTTCATTTCCTTGAACGTACATAGGAACAAGGGAGGAAAGTCTCTTACTGAAGTGCCTGAAACCCAGAGCTAGAGCTTCTAGAGACGCTGTTCTTCCTGTCTCAGCTTGGCCAACCTTTCCCCACTGTTCTCTAATCTCATGCTCCAGCTTCTCAGAAAGAACAAAAGAACTAGCTGTTCTAATTAAGTAGAAAGTGAGACTCAATAATCAACCTTCAGCAAAAGGCAGAGAATCACAGGGAGAAACGACTTGTATTTCAACTACCCAAATCTACTCTCCCAGGCTGATACACACATACTTTAGGGGACTAAGAGAGAGAAGCATGTTATATTTTATTCATCAAAACAGTAATGCAAAAATATATCAGTAGAATATGAAAAGCTCAGGATCTCTCCCAAGGCTTCTGCAGGAAGGCCAACAGGTGAGATGGGAAGGAGGCAAACAGAAACTGATTTTTGTAGCTCATCCAATTAGGACACCTTAGGAATAGCATTGTGATAATGATGATGAATATGCTCCGTCAGATTCGTCCAGGCTGCACCTTCCTATAGCTGCCCAGTAAACTCACCTGTTCATGTGGTTTCTTTGTCGCGTAAGTGTTGAGTGTCCTAGTAGCCTGTTCTAGTAAGTTAGGAATGAGTTACGTTCTTTCTCTCCTCCTTCAGTCTAGGCCCAGGGTCCGGAACTCAGCTTGATCCAAGTGGTCTCAGGATTGGCATGGGGAGGGGGAAGCTTTTTTTGAATCACTTTTTGGTCACTGAATCTGCCATTTTAAGAGTTAGATTTGCTTTATGGAATTCAATTCATTGATAAAAACTACATTCAAGTTGCAGCACCATTTCACAGTGAAATATTTTGAGAAAAATTTTGTTGCTAGAATAGTTACAGACAAAAGTTTTATCAGCAAAATGTTTCAATGATGTTAATAAACAAGACAATGCTACTAGAGTCTCATGTCTTGGTCTAGAATCTTCTCTGTGAGTTGCAGAATTAATCGCTGTTTCTTCATAATCTTATTTGACAGGAGCCAGCAGTAATAAAAATGTTCTTACAGCAGGAGATATTCTGCCTGGTTTAGCTGATGCCACACGTGAAATACACAAGTATATACAGTCACACGCAAGGATTATAAGCAGGGAAGAATAATCAGCAAATTTGTGAATTATAACTAAGTTTTCTCAGTTTCAAAAAAAATCAAATCTTAGATCCTACCTAATCTGCATAGTCTGGTTGTGGTTAGCTTTGGCTCCTTAATGAAATTAGTTCTTTATGAAATAAAAATATATTTGTGAAAATTAAAAACTTGAATAACTTACTTTTGGCATGAAAGATCTTAAGACAGAAATTATCAAACTCACAATTTGTTTTGGCAATGTAAACAAGCAGAAAATGAATATTTGTTAATTGGCTAATCCTGCTGTGACTATTAATTCTTATTTCATTTTCACTTGTGACATACATTATGTATGGGTTTAGGTCTAAACAGTGATTGTCATTAGCTAATATCAGTCGTGATTCAGAAGGTGAAATAGCAATTCCCTGTTAGGCCAGCTCATTTAAGGCTTAGCTACTTGTCAGTGTAGTTGTGTTTTTTTAAACAATCATTTTTGTCCTTGTATGTTTTTTTTGTTTAAGCTTGAGATTAGCCAGCTTTGTGTGTATCCACGTGGCTTTGGGGTCACGTCATAATGATGCTTGATATGCCTTGTAAATTGATTACTTGTATTTATGTTTGCTATTTTGGTCACAAAGCTAAACACTTTTTTCTCTGTCCTGGGAGTGCATAATGATGAAAGCTTGTTTACAATTGGATATAAACACTGGCTTAATTTGCTAACTTACAAAATATATATACTAAGTACGAATTAACATACATGTACATACACATTTCTTCCCTTACAACCCATAAGTAAGCTTCAGATCTTGGAATTTCCTAGGAAGTACCGTGTAGCCAATAATATAAACAATGCAGAGACATTCTAATCTATGCTTTCCAGGTGGGAAAATTGAACCACAGCAAGAATCCATAACATCCCCATGACCATGCAAAACATTAAAAGAAGACACGATAAACATACTCCTGGTCCTTGAGACTTGTTCCAAACATTGGACGTTACTGAGTATCTTCTTACCCTTTTCTCTAGACTTCCAAGAGGACTGAAAAGAAGCCACATCCTGAGATAAGATCAGAAATACGTCTGCTAAGTTACAGTCTATGGGCAGTTTCATTTCTAGCCCTTTCTCCAAACAGAAATCCCTGTGAGTCAAAGTAAATGACGAAATGTGTAATAGCCTACCAGCAGCACAATTAATCAGAAAACTCTTGGAGGAGAAGTATAAGAAAGTTTTCACTACAAATTATAAATACTGATGAGAAATTGGAAGGAAAGTTCACTTTACTTGGCAGAGTCAGGTCAAGAATGGTAACAGAGGCTAGGTCCTGGGTAGGCTGTCTCCAAGCCACATGCCCCTTCTCTCAGGAACAGTTTGTCAGGTTGTCAGAAATGAGGGAATCATTTCTATGCCAAGGGAGTTGCACAAATCACTTTTCCATTCCCCATCTCTGCTCAGGGCTCATCTCCCATTTGTCAGGCAAGACATTCTCACGACTTGCTTAACATCTATCCCATTGAGAAATCCTTCTATGACCAAATGTACGTTGGATATTAATTAATGGGATCCCTCACCAAGTTCCCTAGAATATGCACTGTCGTATCGTGTACTCGGCAGAGACAGTCAATCACTAACAACGCATTCTCTCCTTTCATGGTGTAGAATTGTCACTGAGAAGTGGCTTCCTACCAAGGCACTATATTTCCCAGACCCCTTGCAAGTTGGATGTGGTCATAATTCTGGGTTATAGACCATGGAATTTGAGAGAAAGTGACGTGCAGCCCTTCCTAAGCCTGGCCTACACCAACCTTCTGTGTGTATCCCTCCTCCTTGTCTTTTTCCCTTCCCATCCATTGGAATGGAGATGATCCCCCAGGGCAACCTTAGAGGTCACATATTGTAAATGGCAGGGCCTCTGGAATGTCTAGGAGGAGGGCCACTCTGCCAACTTTCTCCCCATCTAGTCTGTTATGGAAACAAGAAGAAAAAGTCTATTGTGTTTGAGTTATGCACATTTTTAGGTCAATGTGATATAGCAGTTAACCTAATGGAATTAATACGCATACATTTTCTGGGCACTAGTTGTTAATTACAGTGAGAGATTTGTAAGCTTCATGACTGAGTACTCCAAGACAGGATTATACATTCACCTCCACAGAAGATAAAGCAAAGTAATCAGACCTGTCAGGATTCAGACGGGCCAAAGTGGACAGAACCCAGCCACTTGGGTAGATGGTCAATTCAGGCTCTTAATTTATTAAATTTTAACTTATTAAAAAGCATGACAATACCACAAATTATTGATTTTACCTTTATTTTATAGCTGATGAAAAAAGGACAAAAATATTAATTATAACCCCCACCCTGCTCGGGTTGTTCCAGAAATAAATACTTCTTCACACTCAAAAGACAACACCAGTTAAATCTCGTAAAGTGCTCCCATGGTTGGAAAGGGCAAAACAAGATGCTCAGAAAAAGGAATTAAAGATGCTAACTCTAGGACTCATTGCTTTTTCTGTGGCATTTCAGTTTCCATTGTTTTGGTACCTCCACTTAAGCTTAGAGTTTAATAAATTAGAAACTGACCACAAGCATCTAAGAACTGTTTTTTATTTAAAAACACATCCATGAAAAGCCAAGGAAATAGAGAGGTGAGGCAGCACCAAAGTTTTCCGAGCTGAAGTGAAAGTGCCTCTGGTTTTTCCAGCAATTCCCACTAGTGTTATCATGACTCAAGAGTCTGCTGCAATCAGTTGTGGAAAGGGGCGGAGTGACAGCTGGAATGCAAAGAACTGTGCACAACCCAGAGCCATCTCAGCTTTGCCAAAAACCCAAGTGCCCCCATGGGAGCGTCTTGCAACATATGTTCTGTAGAGAAAAGAGGTTGCAAACCAGGGGGTTATTGCAATAAATACCACTTGTGATGAGCAAGACTTGTAAGTTTAAATTTATTTTTTTAATGTTTGTCTTCCTCACTAGACAATCAATTCTATGAGGGCAAAGACCATGTCACCACTGTACCCCAGCCCCTGGCACACAGTAGGCACTCAATAAATATATGGTGTAAGGACAGATGGATGGATGGAAGGATGGATGGATTCTATCTAGCTCAAGTGTGAGTAGGAACATTTTCTGCTATAAGAAGAGAGAGAGAGAATAAAATAAAACACATAGATGCATATAATTTTTAATGTTTGTAAAGTGGGATTGAATTAGGACTAATAAATCTTCTAGATAATTTCACTTCTTTCAATGTCCAAGTTACATTTTTCTATCACTTTGAAACCCAAAAGTAAATACCTTCCCAATGTTTGCTTTGATGGTAGGAAATGCTTTAATAAAAATGTAGTCTCTAAGTTGCCATGACATCACCAGGAGAAAGAATGTCGCTCTCAGGCCCAGAAGAACTCAAAAGTGGCAGGGCATGACCGGCACCATTGTTCCAAATGGGTCAGCCTTACAGCGCCTCACTCCATCACCGCTCACTTCTTCCAGCTTGAAAGTGGCGTACATGTTTATGAACTAGATGGTAAGTGGGAGGAACTCTGGTCCACAAGAAGCTTGCACTGGACACTACGAGGCAATGGTATTTTACTGGCCACAGTGTGACTGGACTTCACTCGCTGTTCTGACATTAGGAAGAATTTTGTGGGTGGACAAAGTCAAAAAATTCTCCTTTCATCACATTACTCAGAGAATAAGCTGACTATAACCCAGCAGCACTTGTCCATACTCCAGGACTCAGTTTGCGACTATTCTGAGGCAAACCTCTGCCTGTGCAGTTTGTCCTTCCATCCAGTCTACCCTTTGGGGTCCAGGCCCTTGATCAGTCTCACACTCAATGCTATTGGCCTCACTGCCCAGCACCAGGAATCAAACAGTATCACACTGGTGCAACAAGACATTTATCAGGCCAAGGTCTCAAGGACGGGATCAGGTTCAGTTGGCCTGAGCACGCCCATTCAACATGTTCAAATGTCCCCATCCCACCCCACCCACATGAGGGCTCCTGAGCCCTGAGGTCTGAATCCCAAGAACCTCAGTTGAGAAATCTCTGTGGCAGCTTCACTGTTGCTCAAGAGCCTGAGTATTGTAGCAGCCCGGGGGCAGGTTGTCCCTGATGTTCTCCAGGTTCTTCACATCAGCCAGAATCCCATCTATGCTTGTCTCCAGCAAAAGGAGGTGGCCCCTCTGCCGACGTGCCCTTTCTTCCAGCTCTGACATCAAGGGCCGCAGCTGGCTGTTGATCTGGGTCTTGGCTCGGAAAAGCTTCTGCTCCAATAAGATCAGCCCCTCTTCATCCACACTGCCAGGCTGGTCTATTTTAGGGAAGGAGAAAGGAATTAATACAGAAGAGCTATGGTTAGATCTCCTTGAACACAAGTGAACACTGTGTACTCTTAATTAATTCCTGTTTCCACCTGTCCAGAGCAAATAGTATGCCACGCATTCAAAAGGCTTATTTTAAATTAGAAATAATATAGAAAAATTTCTGAGAGCTCTAACCTAATTACTGAATTTTGAACAGCCCAGTTCAAGCCTCTGAGCTCTATAGTTAAGCAATATGAAGCTTGGATTTCTCCTTTCACGTGAGGGTCAACAGTTCATGCTCTGAATAGATGAAGGTCATAGGGGACTGAGTACTGTCCAAGGTGTCTGCCCAACACAGCTCACCCTAGATCAGAATCAACTCCAAATTGTGCTTTCTGAACCACCCTTAGGAAATATCTTGTTATTTTCCATCAGAAGACCTTTAGAAACTGGCTGGGTTTCATGGTTTATAGAGGCCAAGGTATGCTCTGCTATTTGGGGGATGGATTCCAGCTGTTAGGAAATGATGTAAGACATCATTCTGGCCTGAAATAGTGGGAGTCTGGCTAGACACTAATTTATGTCCAATATGAAATGTAGTCACATTTGTTCAAGTATGTTTTACCCATAAACAATCTAAAACCAACGTCAACATGAAGGGCACGTGGCCAGACCTGTGCGGTTTGAATAGGTTTGGGCTGCCCTTGGTCTATTCAAACTCAAGGTCAGGTTGCCTCACATATCTAAGCTGCAGTGATAATACTGGCCTGCATGAGTTTATTATACCTAGAGGGATTAAACTGTTGTTGTTTCAGGACTCGAGAGAGCAAATAGAACAGAAACAACGCCAAAACAAAAATGTTGATCCAATGGATCAGTCCTGCACCTGGAGCAGGGGAGAATTCAAGAATTTAGGGTTCAGTGACATGCAGAGAAAGCTAAATTAGCTTGGGGATAAAATAACCATTTCCAGGGGAGGCAGCATGAGCTACGCAAAACAGCAGGAGCATTGGAGGCAAAGAGACCTCAGTTTGAATCCTGCCTCCACGACTGACTGTGTGATCTGCAGGACATTATTAACCTCTCTGAGCCTCAACTTACTCCTCTGCGAAATAAAATAATAAAAATAATAAAACCCACCTCATAGGACCTTTAAAATACTGAAACGATATTACACCATGAAAACACCTGGCCTAGTGCCTGACACACAGTAAATGTTTAATAGTTCCCACCCACCACTCGCTCATTTTCTCCTTAGAGGCCCTCTTAGCTCATTACCTGTTTCAGAACACTAAACAGAGCCGCTAAAATCTCTGCTAAGGAGTGTTTTTTACCCTTAGAGAGTATTTTACTCTTTGGGGCTCTCTGGATCACACAGCAGACCTGTTAGTACAACAACACCGACATACAGGTCTCTCAGGGTGATGATACTCCACAGAAAAATCAGGTTTTAAAATTGTTGTAATGAACTGAAATAGTAGAACCAAGCCTTTTCCTGAATGTTGCTGGAATCTATGACCGAATCCCTAGTTCCATATCTGCTGCAGTTCAAACTTGATAAAACAGGCCAACTGAGGGTTTGATATTAGTTCTACCTAAATCCAGAATTTTAATTCAAATCAGCTTTCTTTTGGGAGAAATTATGTAGGGAAATCTAAGGCATTGCCACACTGTGCCATCAAATCCATTTTATCCTAAAATTTTGCAGTATCTCATGGACCTGATTCCTTATGTTTCTTCTGGGTTATCTACCAGACAGCTCAATCTTCCACAACTGGTTACAGCAAGGTACAACTGTGGTTTGGGGAGGGACAAACAGCAGAATCGGCAAGTGATTCTAGACTTCACAGACTGGGAGAATCTTCGTCCTCACCACTTCTACTGCCTCAGAGCAGGCTCCGTCACCTTTCTCCCCAATTATTTCAACAATCTCCTAAGTGGTCTCACCCAGCCTTTTGTCTAAACCACCTTCAAGCTCTCCTCCACTCAGCCGCCCTGCTGACCTTTCTGAAATATACAGTGATGATGATATTCCTCTTCCTAAAATTGTCCGCTAGCTTCTCAGGATCAAGGCCAGAATCCTTAGCAGGACTGTCAAGCTATCCAGTCTTCTCTTTAAGCTGTGAGTTTGAATCCTGACTCTACAATTTACTATGTGATCTGCAGGACATAATTAACCTCTCTGAGCCTCAATACACCTTCCCTAAACACACCCTGCTCTTTGACCTACAGACTTTCACCTTCAAGGGCAATAGGTGCTCAGTGTCCCATCTTAAAGATGATAAAATAGAGTCCAGAAAATGTAAAGTAATTTGCTCAAAGTATCTGGGCCTGGAAACAAAGCAAATTTCTGAAACCCTTAAAGAAAGTTGAGACTCCCACTCATCAGGGCTCATTCTAGTTAGTCCTCTGGGGAGAAGCCCTGGACCACAGGGCTGGAAGGTTGTAGATACCCCACATACCTATTAGGTGTAGGATGCCGTCCAATGCGTTGAGTGTGTCTTGGATCATAACTCCAGCATTCTTGGCTCTGTTATCAACTCTTTGGGCTTCTGTAATTACCTGAGGAAAAATAAATACAAACCAGTCTCGAAAGGGTGTTTCCCATATGGGCAAGTTTAAAGGGCTCTCCTGAGGTAAGCAACGGGAACTCACCATCTGCACTGCGTCCGTATCCATGTCAAACTCCTGCTCCTTCCTTGCCAGCTCTCCTTCCACTTCCCTCATCTCACTCTTCACGGTGGCCAGCCCCTTCTCCATGGCCAAGGCTCCATCTGCTGTCACATTGGCTTCCAAGTTCAGACTCCCTATCTCCTGGGAGAAGAAAAGGAGCCAGGGACGGAAGGAGAGATAGGGGTGAGGCACAAAAACAGACAGTTGCAGAAAAAATACAGCCGCAGCCAGGCCCTGATGGAGTAAGTTAGATGAACAACGAGACAGTCAGACTTGGTGACACACCCTTCCCCAAGCTCTGTCTCCAGCAAGTCAATTTTTGGGGTATGTCTCTAGGAACTACGGGGGTCAGCAGTGCAATACTGGTTAATGCTCATCAAATGGTGAATGCAATAGGAACCAGATGGGAAAACCAGAGGGTGAGAAACCCACATCACTTTTTGTCATATTTTTTTGCTGCCACAGACTTTTGAATGACTTTACTAGGATCCCCGAGGCAGTTGATTTTGGGGTGCAGAGAATGAATAGGCTACGGCTTTGAGTTTTGTTTTTATTAAAAGAAAGTCTATTAATATCTTTATCAATAAGCTATTAATAAGCATCAAATTGCAGGTATCTCTGTGCTAGAAGTGTATAAAGAGAGGCACATGAAATTGGTTTCTATACTAAGGGACTTAAAATCAGAAATTATTTTTGCAAGTTACCAAGTGGTCCAAGAGAGAGGCCAAACAGTCCAGATACCAAGAATTCCCTCTGGGCTTTCTAGAGTTGCATAAGTCTTCTAGAAGTCATGCTTAAATAAGAACTAAGAAGCTCTCTTCCAACTGAGAAGCACTCCTGCTACTGTAGCATTTAACACATGAGTTGTGAGTGTACCTTGTCTGTCTCTCCCCATTACACTGACTGCTCCTTGAGGAGAAGGACTGGGTTTTCTCATCTCCATATCCCCAGCACCAAGCACAGTGCTGGCACACAATGGAAAGAAAGAGAATAATGAATAACTAGAGCTTAGACATAGAACGCAGAGAGGAACAAGGCATCTAGAATCCCAGAATTTCACAGTCTTGAATCAAACATTGATGATAGCTGTTACAGGTTGAATTATGTCCCCCAAAAAGTTATGTTGAAGTTGTAACCCCCCAGCACCTCAGAATGTGACCTTATTTGGAAACAAGGTTGTTGCAGATGTAATTACTTAAGGTCATTTTGGAGTAGAGTGGACCTCTAATCCAATATGATCAGTGTCCTTAGAAGAGTTGGAGACACCCAGGGAGAAGAACCCCATGTGGTGACAGAGGCAGAGATTGGAGAGATGCTGCTGCAAACTAAGGAACACTAAGGATTGACAGCCACCACCGGAAGCTAGGAAGAGGCAAGGAAGGTTTCTACCCAGAGTCTCAGAGGGAGCATGGCTCTGCTGACACCTTGATTTCAGACTTCTAGCCCCCAGAGACAAGAAGTTTCTGGTACTTCGTTAGAGAAGCTCTAGGAAACGAATACAACAATCGACATAAAAACAGTCTCGGACGGTTCTTCTTATGGTATTGTCCGAAAAGGGAGCTGAAAATGGGGGGCTCTCGCACTCAGTCAATGACAGCCCTGTGAATCAATCAACAAAAAGGGTGCCTAGGTGGATCTGGGGCTGTCATGGACCACAACAGGACTCTGAGCCCTAGGGGTCAAAATGGGCCCGATGCTCTTTCCTTCCACACTACCCTTGCGTTTGGGGCTGCTCATGCCAACCTGCACCGTGATTACTCTTTACCTGTTCTATCTTGCCAGAGATCTCCAGGGCCTCCCTGGCTGCATTCTTTGCCCTCTGGGCGTCGGCAGCAGCACTGCCCAGGGCTGCTTCTGCTCGCTTGGTCTTGTCACTGGCATCTGCAACCTTCTGGCTGATGTAGGGGAGTCTCTTCATGGCCTCTTCAGCTTCTGTTTTTCTATCTCCGACCTGCAGGTCAAACTCTGAAATGAAGATAAGCAAATGTTGCCATGAAGATGAAAACTAATTTATAGAACTAACTGACTTATAGAACTAACTGACAAATGAAGATGAAAGGGGCTGAAATATTTAAGAAAAATTCTGGTAAGAGTGTTGTTACTGCCTGGGCATGAGAGTGTGGGAAGTTGTGGCTGTTATTGCTTTCTTATCCAGGAGAAAGCATCTCAATGGAGGCACTGAACAGGCAATAATTAGTTCTTTGCTTAGAGAAATTGAAAATCAGCGTGCCCTGGGTCCCCACCACTACAAGAGTTTTAAGACCCCAAAGTGGATCAAAAGCAGATGGAATCTTTGAAGCCCAAAGTTTCAAGCCAGAGCCTTAAATACTAAGCTGCCAATGAGAATAGTTGGAGGTTGGATAGAATGAGTAGAGAGGTACTTTCTGTGAAGAAAATCCCAAGGCTATAGGGATGTTTCTATTTTGTTCTTTAGTGAAGAAGTCTTAAATTTTAGCCAGATCTCTACAAGGTACAAACCCAAATTTCCTGGATCTAGATGCTGTGACAAAGCTTACTCCATTACTACCACTAAGCAACCACATTGGTTCCATACTGGAACCAACCGTGCTACACAAGAAAAGGAAAAATATCTGTCTGGTAGTGGGATGTTGGATCTGTGAGAGACTTTAGGGATCACTTACTACAACCTTCTCTCTTTAATGAGGAGGAAATTAGGGTTGGGAAAGGCTATGTGACTTGTCTATGGTCACACAGCCAGCTCAGCCTGGTCACAGCAGGGATCAGAACTCAAGCCTTCTCCCATCTAGTCCAAGTCTTTCCACTACATCAAATATTAATGAAATTTTTTTCTTTAGAAAGATATTTATTAAGCATCTATTAATACCCCAATATATCTATCACTTACAGAAATATATGAGGATTCAAAATAAACCAAAGTCATGGTTATACCTTTAAAATACTCAAGTGACCTAAACCATGAAATACTCACCTCTGAGATTCTTTAAGATATTCTCAACTTCATAAAAAGTGGCATTGCCCATACTTAGTGCTTCTTGGGCTCTGCTTTTAGCAAGGTTGGCACGAGAAAGCAGCTGATCTGATTTCTGTAAATAGGCAGACAGAACAAGATTAGAGTAAAATGTAACATACACCCAGGAAGTGCATTCCTGTCAGCAAAATCACTCCAACACATTTCTCTTCATGTCAACAGAGGGCTATAATTCACTTAACAGTGTAGGGGTGCTGTGGCAAACCCCTCCACAGTCTGGGACAGAGCAAACTTCATAACCCAAAGAAACCCAAAAGGTTCCTATATAGAGAATAGTCTCAAACTCTAGTCCATTATCAGGGAGAAGAATAGTAATGCAAATCATAATTTAAAACTCTAGATACTTCCTGAAGCCAATCTAGTAGACAGAGCTAGACCAAAATTGGACCAGGAGGCCTGAGTCCTATTCTTAGATTTGAAGCCTGACTCAGTGGGTGGAGCTGAGCTAATTACATTAAAGCCTCTGTATTTCAGTTACTTCTCCCATAAGCAGCGGTACCATGACCTTTAGAGTGTTTTCAATGATTCCTCTTGCCGTATTTATTCACATGGTAGGCATTCAATATGTGTTTGTTGAGTGAACAAATTAACAAAAGGATACCTGTCTCCCATTCTTTCCATTCTGTAAGAGCTGCCGGGTTTCTTCTTCCCAGTTTCCCAGATCGCTTTGCACACGCTTGAACTCATCCATATGCTGAGTCACCAGGCTTGAGAGAGAATCAGCTTTTTGTCTGATCCTCTTTGCTTCTACCTGTGAGCCCAAAGAAATGAATGAATCTGACTTTCTGCTAACCAGTTACCACATCGGCCTTCTTAGGACCCGACATCATTGTTTGAAAATAACAACAATCCAGCCCAAAGTCTAACAGTAATGAGGCAATGTGCCTAATGAAAGTCAGGCAGCAGATCCCCCAAGCACCAAACAGGTTTTGTGCCTGTTTTATTTTTTTCATTATTTTACGCGTTAGTTTATACATACATGGGAACATTTTTGTGGGAATCACTGTGAGTGGTTTTTGCTGTAGATACAAAGCAGAAACTTCTTAATCTAATAAGTTTGGAATAGTTAAAGGAATTGATGACAGAAACAATGCAAAACTTCTCAGAAGAACAAAAGTCTTCTGAGTGTCTGTACATAGAGATGTACCATAGGTTGGCTCTAACTGTAAATATCAAATTTTATCTATAACAATTTCCCACAAGTTTCAGTAGTCCCCAGAATTACAGAAGAGATATAAAACTTCACCCACTAATAGGTTCGGAATGTGAGCTAAGGCTTTTTCAGAGATCAATATTGGGGTTTAAGAACAAGAAAATGGATAATGAGAAGGATAAATACTCTTCCTAATCCAAAGCAAGAAAGGTCAACATGGCGGACAAACTGCATGATTGAACGATATTATGGAACCCCCAGAGAAGAAAGCATTATGGCCCTTCTTCTGTACATCAGTGCTGAGGCTAGAGGCCCTTACCTGAGAGGACTGACCATTGACTCCCGGAAGCTGAGACACGGAATTGAGAAGGCGGAGACTATGCTGATAAGACCCATCTGCTTCCAGGTCCGTTTGAGTGGCCTCCCTAGACAACTGCTGGGCCAGAGACTTGGTTTTTTCCAATCTGCAGGTGGGGGAAGAAAGAGGACTTTGAGCATTCACTCTTTTCATTAAAAGCAAAAATTCACCCTGTTGTTTTAAAAGTACATCATTGGAATTATCAAAAGAACCAAATGAGGTTATGCGTCAGATATGTGTCCCTCTCCACAATCTAAACATAAGCCTTAAAGTTTATACAGGTTAGGTCAGAAAAATTCAACCCAGGTTTCCCATTTCTTGATAATATAAATATATTATTTTTATTTTTATTTATTTTTTTTATAATTTTATTTATTAATTTTTTCCCCCAAAGCCCCAGTAGATAGTTGTATGTCATAGTTTCACATCCTTCTAGTTGCTGTATGTGGGACGGCGGCCTCAGCATGGCCAGAGAAGCGGTGCGTCGTGCGCGCCCGGATCCCAACCGGGCCGCCAGTAGCAGAGCACACGCACTTAACCGCTAAGCCACAGGTGCCAGCCCCCTAAATATATTATTTTTATATCCACACCATCAGATGGCTTTACTCATATCCTTCAAACACCACAGAGGGTGACCATATCTCCAAGTATGCAATCTCTCAACCAAAACACAAACTTTACTTGTATTTATCAATCTTTTCTTCTTTCAGCCTAAAAGGTATCTGCTTTCCCCCAAAGCAATACTCTCATTCTCTTCTCCCTCTTATTATTAATATACTTTTAAAGAAACACAGCACCTGTCAAACGTGGTTTGCATTATACCCTGGGATGATACAGATTATATTGGTCCTCGTGAGGACCCGTTGAAACGTACTTTCCCATAAGCCCTTGCACCATGGCGCCGTCCAGGCTGCCGCTTCCACCTCCGTCACCCAGAGCGTTGCGCGCCAGTGATAGTGCTTGCTCAGTTTCCTTTGCCAGTTGCTCCATGTTACTGGCTGACTCAACGTGGCTGAGAGATTAAAAACAAAGAATTTAAGTTTTCATAGAAAAGGGCTTCCTTTAGATCTTTTATTTAAATGAAGGGAGAGGAGTAAGGGAACTGGTTTGGCTAGAAAAGCCAAACAGAATTAACCCTGATTAGATGGAATTAGAGGAACTATCAAGAAGCAGAAGGTGTTCTAGAGAAGCAGCCTCTTGTCATAGACTTTCTGGGGACCTTTTCTGTTTATGGCATAATCAGGGGAAGCCTGGGGTGGGGGATGGAGATGAAAATATTGGGTCTATAAGCTGTTTTCTGCAGGAAGAAACCCCTAGGTTTTATTTCATCCAGGATCCAACTCCCTCCTGACTTATGCTGCATGTCTAAACTGGGCGATCTCTAGGAGGGAAAAAGCCTGTCAGGAGAAGTCCCCTAGATGCTTTTGTCCTCCTGGTTCTAGAAAGTGATAAAAACAGGCTCAGGTTTTTCTCAGGTTAAAAACAGGCAGCTCATGCTACAAAAACACAAGCCAGCCCCCTTCTGCTTACTGAATTCCATTTGGGATTAGCAGAGCCTGACACCTTGCTGAGCACTCTGCTATGAGCAAACCTCTGAACATGGTAGGATTTATAGTCGGGCAAGGACTAAGAAGCTGCATTGGGGCCCTGCAGAGCTGGTTTTCAGGGGGAAGTTCCCCCTCTGCAGAGTTGGCCCCCACAGGCTAGCAAACAACTTGTTGCTACTTGTTCCCAGGCTCGGTATGGGAGCCTGGGAGTCCCTCAAAGCTGCAGAGCGATGTTTTCCAAGGGCTAATTCATTTCACGGGGCCAAGGAATCACATCTGACATACACCAAAGCCACACTGTGAGTCATAGGGAAATCTGAGAAAGAAATACCCCCACCCCCAACTCCTGCCAAACAACCATGCCCAGTGGCCACCTACATACACTAAATGCCAAGTGGTTAAAAAATGGCTTCAAGGCAGGCATGGCTGCAAAGGAGCCTGGAGGTAATGAATATGGTACTTAGGTCCTGAATACCCTACAGTTTTGTTCAAGTCTGGCCTTGCAGAGATGATCTGAAGCAGAGGTGCCCTCTAAAGCTGCTCACCTGTCTGCCAATCTCATGGCCTCCTGAGCCAGACTTTTAAAGCCATTTGGCCCCACGTAGAGTTCTGAAGCAGGAAGGTTCTATGGAAAAAGGAGAATTGGTTAAGGCTTTGCACTTGGCCATGGCGTCTAAGCAGGTTCTATGTCTGTCCTGTCAGAACCACTTGTCATTAGCCACACAGCATTCCACACCCTGACACATCAAGAGTCCCTAGTCACCACAATCATTACATTAAAAAAAAAAAGTATAGACAAAAATAAACTAGAAATCTAGGCTCAAAAAAGTCTATAAATAGATATAGATGCATTTAAAAATATGTACGTTTATATTTTCACGTGTATTTAAAGTCCAGTAGAATATGTATCGAGTTTCAATGGTGGTTATTTCTTAGTAATGGGATCATAGGGGATTTTTATTTTCTAAATTTTCTACAATAAACATTATTTTTGTAATAAGGAAAAAATAAATATACATTATTTTTTAAATCCTTCATTTCCTCAGCATAATATCTGATTATCTTCCAATTTCCTCTATTCATCGCCTACCCACCCACTTAACTTATTGTCACCACTGCCTTTATTCAGAAAGGGAAGAGCTCTCATTCAAATCTCTCCCTCCTACCACACTACAAACTACATCCTTAAGAAAATTATACTGGCAACAATTTTTTTCCCATTTTCAGAACCATGTCTTCATTGGGCTCCTTTCTTCCTTCCTTCCTTTTTCATTTGTGCTTTTGTTCATTCATTCATTTATGCAGCAAAAATTTATCACAGACACACACTGTGCTATGGGCTGAGAATGTCAATATGAACAAAATTAAATCTTGCCCTCTGGGAGATAGCAAGCTAGAAGATATGCAGAAAGGAAGGAGAGGAGACAGGGCCAAGATGAGGATACGGTTAGCAAGAAACGAACTAGGGAGAAGAACATAATGCAGTAAGATGGGAAATAGCAGGAAGCCAAAGGATGCAAAGAAGAGGGGTGACTGTTTGAAGGAAGAGAAGTCCAACTATCTGCCAGGTAGACCAGAAAACCCGAGACAGTGAGCCAGTGATGCCTACAGGTGAGTCTTCCCACACAGCAGTGACTCTGAGTCCCTCAGCTAAGCCAGCACCACCTACGGTGTTCTGCAGGGAAGCCTCGCTTTTCTCCAGGCTCAGGCGCATCTGGGTGATGAGCCTGCGAGTATCCTGAACTCGCTTCTGATGCTGACTGCCCAGGGCCCGAACTCTTTCCACAGTCATCTTCAGGTCATCCAGGCGGTTCCGGTAGCTATTCTCTTGACTCCTTGCCTTGGCCAACTGGAGATTGAGGGATCTAATAGCACCTGAACACCAACAAGAAAAGGGAAGATGAGCACTTTCAGGGTCAGCATAGAGTATTCAAACATAATGGAGGGTTGAAAAAGTGACTTTGGCTTTATGGCAAAATGGTAAAAACCCAATACATGAATGCACGCAACCGCTCTTTTATCTCCATCATTCAGGTCCAGGAAGACAGACAATCCTTCCACCTCTGCAAGGGCTAGTTAGAGACATCTGCTGAACTGATACCTGCAGAAGATCCAATGACCTAGTCTAGCAATGCTTTCTGGGACTATAAATTGTCTTCTGTCTGAAGGGAAATTGGCCTTGATCACCTTCTGAAATCTGGGCTTCTCTCAGAATGTCCTGAAGGGCCTGCTCAGCCTGCCGCATCCTGCCTTCCAGCTCTGTGTTGGGTACGGCTCCACCGCCACCCGGAGCCTTCGAAATCAGGGCCTCCAGGCTCTGGAGCTGCTGCATAAACTGATCCATCTGAAACCACATGGGAAAGAGGATCAGAACAGATGGCAGAGACCATGGTCAAACACCAGCTACTAGGAGATGAGAGCTAAAAGCCCAGAAATGCTTGGCATGTCACGGTAGTTAAAAGTTTAGATTCTAGAACCTAGACTCTCTGAGTTTGAATTCTGGCCCCACTACTCACTAGCTGTGTGACCTTTCTTAATCCATAGATGGGGATAATAATAATAATACCTCATAGACTTATTTCTTGGACTAAATGAGTTAATATTTGTATAGTGCTTAGAACAGTGTCTGGAACAAAGAAAATGCTACAGAGGGCTGGTTTAATAGATAAATTTTTTTAAAAGGTTGAGTTTGTTCTACATTTGGGGTTCTGTTTGTGCCCTTTTCTCCTCTACTCCTCACCCCAGCAAAATAATAATAATTAACAACATCAATTTCATTCTTCTCTGGATTTTGAATGAGAAATTTCTGGAGGTCATTCCTGTTTGGACAGCCTCAACACCTTCTGGACTCCTCACGTCTCTTAAATGTTTATGTTTTTCTTCATCTGTTCTACAAGGACATCTCTTGGAAGAAATTCAATGGCAAATCATAGTGGAAAGAGCACTAAACTCAGAGTCAGGGGACGTGGATAGGATTCTCAGTTCCAGCTGGCCATGTGATTTTGAAAGACTGCAAATTTTTTGAGACTTTCTTTGCTCAGTGAAAACTGAGGTCAGAATGCTTTTTCTCCCAATTTGATTAAGTATCATGAGTACCAAGCAAGACAGTATCTGTAAAAGGGGTTTTGAAAATGGTACGTATAAGAACTTAAACCTGAAGTATTATTACTATTATACAGAATTCTTTTTAATACAGCAGTTTTTAAAGAAAGAAATAGTAACCCTCACCTCCATCTCCAGGACACTAGTGGGGTCCTAGATCAGTGACAGAACCACCAGTAGACATTTAAAGATTTTACTCGTGGGGTGAGAGTTGGTAAGGGAAGCATGCACACCTGAATCGTCACTTCATTATAGCAACCTGGACAGCTGGTTGATTCTTCACGCTCACAGTTGAGGCCACCAAAGCCTGGCTTGCAAACGCAGCTGCCATCACTTCGACACTCCACAGGCTCCGAGCCCACTGGGTTGCAGTTGCAAGCTAGAGACAAAAGACAGACAAATAGGAAGTATTCATATCAAGCTAATTCCAGAAACTGGAAGTATAGCAAAGATAAAAGGAAGAAGTTCAAATCACCAAGGGCAAAGAATCCTTCCAGAATTCATATTGTGTCAGATTCATCTCTTGGCCATATGCCTCCAAGCACATCCTACAGGTCTTAGGAATCTCGGGCAGGTTTGTTTGGTGTGTGGGTGGATGAAGAGATATTAAAACAGTCCATTGTTTCTGGTGGCACTTGTTTTCTTCCTCCCATTAAATTCTAAGCCTGTTGGATATTCTGTAGGTACTCTGGTTTTGCTCACAAGGAGAATAACATTTCTTCTGGGCCTATTATGTGCCAGATGTATACGTCTCCCTCTATTTTACAGATGAGGAATATGAGCTCAGAGAGGCTGAGGAACCTATCCAAGGACACACAGCAAGTATTAGTAAGCTGGAATGAGAACCTGGAAAGAGCCAATGCTCTTTTCCTTCTGCTCTGCTGCCTTTGATGTAGGAAATGCAGTAAGAAAGCAGTAGCTTTCTTCATTCAGTCAAACTGATTGAGTACTACTGTGTGCCACATTCTGTTCTAGGAGCTGAGGATATAACAGAGGGTGCTCTGATGGGGTTACAGTGATTTTCTGGGTTGCTCTATCTTCGGTGCTCGCAAATCACTCAGCACATAGTGATATGATCACATGTCTAAGTACTGTCCTTACTTCCTTACGTATTCGTGTGTCTTCCTTATTAGCATGTGAGCTCTTGGGGAGCTGGGGCTAACGTATTCATCACTGTAACCTCAGTATCTAGCACCACTTTGGGTACCTGGTAGGTGCTTGACAAAAGACAGTTGAGTGGAGAAATGTGTGGTCTAAAGCCAGTGAAGTCTCTATTAGTAGCGCCTTATAGCTAGAATTATTTAGTTTACAGTGTACTTCCTATGTGCTATTGTATTTTATCTTTGCAAGCACTTTGAGTTAAATATTATTCATCCATGAGGAAACAGGCTCAGAGAGATTAATTGGTATAATCGGCATAATACAATAGGTATGTTAAAAAAAACTGGACTTGAACTCAGTCCTGCTGATGTTGTGTGGCCTCTTCCTATCATGGGTACTTTCTAGCACACCACAGCTAACCCAGAGGTTGGGGTCAGGGCAGGGGGGGATTCGTGCCCCTGGGTAGAAGCCCCAGGTTGCACAGAGGTCTTCTGGCATTTCCAGGGGTGGAGATTCTGGTGAGAGTGGGAGGCTCTGGGCTCCCTGCAGAACTCCTAAGGAACCAGAAGTTCTCTGGTCAGGGACCCCAGAGCCACTCTGGACCTTATAATAAATAAGGCTCTGAGTTCTGGGCACCAGGGCTGGTCTGGGACCTTACAACTAAGGGGTGAGTCTCTGGGCAGGTCAGCTCCCTAGAACTGAACTTGCCTGTAGAATAGAAGTGTGCAGAGATTTGAAAGAAGGGCTGAGCAAGAGGACCGATCTGCTCATTCACCCTTTGATCTGGAGCAGCCCTTAGGAATGCCCCACGATAGCCGCTGCTTTGAAGCCGAGTCTTGTTAGGAGAAGTTTGACGGTTACCTTTCTATACGTCAATTACACTGACTTCCTGAGAGGGTCTCTTAAACTGCTTTACAGCCCCCTCCCCTCCCCACTTCAGTGTGTTCAGGCATGGTCTCCTGCCATTTATTACTCTCCTATAACAGGTTTGGCAGCCACTTCCCTGCCTTCCAGCCTCGGGATTGGGCATAGGACGTGGCCCCATTTTATCTCCTCTTCCACTCAGGAATGTAAACCTGACCTTTTTCACTTCTCCCACCCAGCTTTAACCCATTCAACATCCTCCAGCTCTGTCCTCCAGAGCCCTGCTGCAGGGGAAACTGGTCTTAAGACCTTTGACAGGTGAATGGTCCAGGCTGTTCACAGGCCAGTCGGTCAGAGAAACCAAAGGAGCATCACAGTATCACCTGCTGTTGGCCTTGCTGATTTGTGTGTTCTGACCTGCACACACTACCAAGGTTACCTGTATACACACACACACACACACACACACACACACACACACAACCATACAACCTGTCTGGGGACGCAGGCCTACCTCGACACTTGTCCGCTGGGTTGGGAGCCAAGGGGTCCCCGAAGTAGCCTGCTTTGCACTGGTCGCAGTGGACACCGGCTGTGTTGTGGATGCACTTCAGACATCTGCCTGTGAGGCGGTCACAGTTCCCAGAGGCACTGGGGTCCACATTGTTGTTGCACTGACATGGCTGACAAGGCCTCACTGGGCCACGTTCCCCGAAGGGGTCCCCAAAATAGCCATCGGCACAGAGCTCACAGCGGGCACCTGGGAGGAACAAATGGCCAAGCCCAAGTGGTCATCCACTGGCAGCAAGACCAGATGCAGAGGCCTAAATACAAGCCGCCCTCTAGAAGCACTTCCCACCCCGGACCCCAGAACAACAGCCTGGAGCAGGTACCCAGGGCAAGGGATGGCTCTTCCACTCCTGGTGGCCACGGACCACACAGGCAGGGATGCTGGCTGCCAGTTAACCAGATGAGGAGAGGTCAGATTTAGAGCAATACCACCAAGGCTGCTGCTGAAGAATTAACTCTTCTTTCAGACGGAGCAGCAGAGAGATGTAACATTTAAAAGGTCACTGAGTTTTCCTTCTTTACCTTGGTTCATTTTCAAAAACTTAGTTAGACCATGTATAATGTCTGAAAATGTCATGTCCTAATTACAAACCTCCTGAAACAGCTGTAGATGTTTTCTCCCCGTACATTCTGCCCTTCCTCGATGCACCTCACCTCTCAGGCATCAAAATATTCTTATCTTTAGAATGAGCCCATTTAGATTAACCTCAAGTAATTATAATTCCCTAGACATTTCTTGGGATAGAAGCTGTTTACACAAATTCACGGCATCAGGACAGGGCGAAGCAGGTCGTCAGGCTTACCAGTGACCCCCTGGGGGCAGTTATTGCACACCACCTCCTCTGTCTCAGGCATCACGGAGCAGCTGAAGCCATTGTGACAGGGGCACGGCTTGCAGCTTCGGGGGTCGTGTGGATCATTGTAGAAACCAATGGGGCAGTCAGCACACTCAGGGAAGTCAGGATTTTCATCCCCTGAATAACAATCTCCTGGGAGGCAGACAAATGAGCAGGGTAAAACCATACACTTCCTTTAGTATGGAGGATGCATGGGGGTCAGAGCTTAGTCACTCAAAGCCTTCCTTTCTGAAGCTTTCGCCAAAGTGTGTGAGCACTGGCATTCATCTTTTGCCCTAGTACCATCTCTAAACTCGGCCACGACGCTGACTCCACCCTCACTCTCCCGTGTTAAGCAGACAGACAGTTCCCTTACAATCCATAACTTAACACTGCTCCCCATCCCCCGGGGCCTGACGCCATTTGTCGGCACATCCATTCAGGCTCAGTCATCGCCTTTGATCTCCTTATACAATTCTTGCAACTCGACACCGACTCCCCTACCCACCACTGAACCGGGACCAGGACCGCCATTTCCTGTAACCTAGCACCTTTATCACAACCTTGTGACATTTCCATAATGAAGAGGATTGAGTGTAATCAAGCACCATGTCCATCTCCTCTGACTCCAGCCCTACTTTCCTTAATCCTTTCCCATCTCCCAAATGAGTTCAGGCACGGCCTTTCTTCCACAGCACTCTCTCTTCCACAGGAAACCCCAGTCACCTGGCTGCACCCCCAGCCACCTGGTCCAGGTGCCATTTCACTCACCTGTGTCTGGATCGCAGGCCCCTCCCCCTTGGCAGTTACACGGAATACAGGTGCCAAACGGTCCCAGTCTGGCTGAATCTCTTTTGTAGCCAGCAGCACAATCCTGGCAGAACTGCCCCTTGTACCCAACAGGGCACACACATTGTTCAACCCAGGGTGCTGGGGCTCCAGAAACAGGGCGGGCTGAAATCAAGGTCACGTTGTCAATGTACCCAGTACCTACGATAGAGAGAACAGGTTAGAAGTAGCAAGTGGTAAGGCCTAAAGATCTAAAGTCAGGCTCTCTGGGATTTTGTTTTTCTTAACTCCCTGTCAAAAACAGGTGTTCGGTTGCTGTGCCATGCGTAGAGGTACAGCAGTCCATCATGACTGAGCACACAGGCTCTGGTATCAGAAAAATCAGGGTTTGAATTCTGGCTCCACCTCACTAGCTGTGTGAATTGAGTAAGTCACATAACCCCTCCATGACCGTGTTTCCTCAACTGTAGAAGAGAAGTAACAGTGGTATACACTTCCTATGTTTGTTGTGAAATTAAATGAGACAATTTATATATTATAATGTGCCTGGCACAGAGTAAAGATTCAATAAGTTGTTAGTAAACACGTTTTCTACTTCCTGCTTTCTTCGCTGCATCAGTGAAATAGAAATGGTACATGCCAGCCATGCTTCCTTTTTACATGCGTGCTAAAAAGCTGAAGGAACTCTCATTTAAATAAGTCCAGTTGGGATTAGGAGGACCCAACATGTGAAGTTCGATAAAAGGAATTAACAGAATACATGATGATGTCCGAACATGGTGTCACCGAGCATAATCCCAGAGGAAAAGCTACTCAAGGAATAGAGGGCTGTGTTGTAGATGCCATTTCCTAGCTAAGGGAATGTCCCATTTGCTGTAGATTATCTTCTTCAAATAACCAGCTTTCATCTAAATTCGGAGACTCTTAGCAAGGTAGCATCATTCATTCTTCATTGGTGATGACCTCTTTCTAGAGAAACATTCCTTCCTTAAAGCTTTTTCTAGATTTGATCAGGGACTACATCAAAACCATCAAGTAGTTGATCTACTTGTTTGGGGACTGTCACCACCTCAGAGAGTTGGAAAAAATTAAACTAAAACCTAAGAAGAGAGACTTTCGTTTCTCTTAGTCACTTACTGTATTCTCCATAGGTAGCTCGGATCTGCAGGGCTGTGAGGTTCCGCAGTAACCTCCGATACTCAAAGTAACTCAGCTGGGGGCTCCAGTTACTGCTTGGATGTTCACTTAATCTGCATGATTTAAAACCAAAAGCTTAAAATCCAATTCTTATCAAATCTCATAATTCATATACCTGATACAAATTATCCCTGAGAATGTGGGAACAGGTAAGCCCCTTCGAAGTCCTGCTGAGAGGGGCTAAGGATGGGTAGACATCCTCGCAGGCGTGAACTTGGAGCCTTCTCACTCCATGGGGACCACAAGCCCCATAGGACATGATGGAGGGCTTCCCAGTGTAGGAAGCTGACCTCCAGGGGTCATGGCATCCAGTGCTGGTCCAGGTCATCAGAGACCACCTTCTATTCTCGGCCACACAAAACCTAATATCAGAAACATCCCTGAGCTCTGATCCTCAAGAGCTACCATTCATTTTTGGTTTTGTTGTTTAAATGATTTGTTATCTGAGCACGTTTCCCTTACTCTTTTCAAAAGTCAGTTTCCATCTTCTACATTGTCCACATCTAATACTTCTTAATTTGGTATCATAGTGCCTCTCTGCATCATATCACAAGCCCCTGCACTATTCTTTTTAATTTTGTTTTGTTTTTTACTGGAATATCTCTTCCAGAAACAATCCTACCCATTTTGTTCCATTCACTGATTCATTAAACAGCAGTTTACTGTGCACTTGGTTTGGACCAGACGCTATATGAGGCTGGAGGATACAAAGACAACGAGGGTGAATTGATCAGCGTCCAGGCAGGGCAGTCAATGGGTAAACAAATAATTATGATATGGTGCAGTGAGTGCTATAACAAATACATGTACAGAATGCCACAGCAACTCACGAGGTGACCGTAACTTTACCTGGGATTCTGAGGAGGCTAATACAAAGGAAGAACCTTGTAAGCTTAATCTTAAAGAGTAAGTTCACCAAGCTGAGAAGGTGGGAATGGGTATTCCAGCTAGGATAGCTGTCTGTGTGTATCATCAGAATAAGTTGCGCTTGGTTATTTAAGTACATACACATTGTGTGTGTACTCTGGGTCTTCTATTCTCTATTCCCGTCACCTCTGCCCTGAGTAAGGCCCCCAGCAACCATCACTTGAACCACTGCAAATGTGTTCTAATGGTCGAGTTAAGGACCCTACCTGAACTATCCTCCACATGGTATTTGCACCCAGCCTTTACCCGTGATCATGACACTTCTCGACTTCCAGCCTCTCAGTGGCTTCCATCATCTTGCAGGTACGGACAAGATCTCAGCACCTTGACACGACACTCAAAGCCCACCACGCTGGGTCCTTTTCCAGCCTTTTCAAACTTATCTCCCCATCTCCTCTATATATGCTGTGTTCCAGCTTGCCAGTTCCTCCCATATTATGCCTTTCCACATCCCCCATATAGTCACATGTACAGGTTGTCCTGATGTTCTTCCTGGGAAAGCGCTGTGCTTCTTTCTGTTCTCAGCCCACACATTGCCTCCTCTGTGACGCTTTTCCTGACTCCTCCAGGCATAATTAGGCACTCTTTCCTCTCCTTGCAGGTCCCCATGAACATGCACCCCCACTGAAGCGATTATTGTACTGCATCGTATTTGCTTTTTGACATGTTATATAACTTACTAGACCATGAGCTCTTGGAGGACAAAGACTATGTTTCTTCATCTTGATTTCCCAGCCTCCAACGCTGTACTGAGCACTTAGCAGGCACAGCCCCCTCCCCTGACCTCTCTATACATGCCATTCAAAATCCCCATTCTACAGGCTCGTGCAACCTTCTTAGACACACAAAGCGACGTCTGTGACCTCACCCCCGTCTCTTTCTCTGACCTCACTTCTCACTGTGTTCCTCTCCCCCACTCCATGCTCCACTCATGCTTAACTACTAGGAATTTCCTAAATGCACAAAACTTCCTCAAGCATGCGATTTCCTCTGCCTGTTTAACCTTTTCCCCTGTCCTTCCTTAGAGAGCTGCTCTTCACTTGCCATATCTTCTTGGGAAGCTCTCCTTGATTATTCCAGTGTGGGTTACTTATGCCTCCTATGTGTGTTCAAAACACCTGTGACCACCTTGTCTATCTCGTCACTTCCAAACTATACTGTAAGCATCTGTTATTTTTCTCTCCCATTAGCCTGTCAGGGACTTCAGGGCGGGAATTGTGTCCTGTCTCAGCACATAACACCATGTCTGTAGGTAAAAGGTGCTCAGAAAGCTTGCTGAATGAATGATTGATGACTGAATGAATGAACAAAGAAACTAGACTTCAATCACAGTTTGCTCTATTTGACCCACTTGTAGTCTCTCTTTTTACCTGAATGTGTAAGTCTTGGTAAGCCCACAAGGCAGTGTCTTGCCAAGCGGCATCAAGGGAGCTGTGATCCGTAGACCAGCACCTTCCAGGATCACGTCGTGGGCAGATGGGTGTCTGCCTCCCCTGTCCACACGGTAGTCAAAAGACAGCCTTTGCCCATAGCTCACCTGTTGATTCCCAAGAAATTTGGCTGTGAAATAGAATTTGAAAAAATTGAGCTCAGTTGTGAAACTGGAGAGGCAAACGAGTGAGCAAGCTTGCATTAATGCTGGCCATTTCTGTTGGAGTCCTGTGTTACCCACCCACCACCCTGCTCCAAACTCCCCTTCCAGAAGAGAGCATGGCCATACTGCTATTGGCTACAAAGGAGGGTTAGTTACTGAAATGCTAAAACGGCCTCATTATAAGACAATTCCATCTATTAGATGATTCATAGAACAGCCCTCATGACAGACCAATATGTAAAGGTCCCGGGTATATCGGCAATAGTGCCATTTGTCACATAATGCTTTATAGTTTACAGAACACTTTCACAAACATCATCACATTTGATGGCAATAATTCTTAGAGGTGGGCATTATTATTCCCATTTAACAGCTGAGAGAATTAAAGTTTGGAAAGGTTAAGAGGACAACTTGCCCAGGAATCACGTATTAGCTAAGGATATGAACCAGGATTAGAATTCTAGCCAGAGTTTCTCCATCCAGCTTTTCTATACCACTGACTAATATATATTTTTCAGTTTACAAATGGTTAAAGCTTTGAGAAATGCCTTATTTTCCCTTTTCCCTCTACTTTTCAGTACACCCACCGATTTCACCATAGTCCTTATTTCTTATCTTGGTGGGAAACCTAGAAACTTCCCATTTGATTAAAGTAGGAACCTCCCTCAGGGTCTGACCGCCTGGACACCCAGTTCTGCTCTGCTGTGCCATGACTTTGTCAAATAGGGCTGTAGCCCCAACTGTCTTCTGGAGATAACTACTGCCCTGAACACTAAGTGATATGGTTTCCACATTTTCTAACTCCATTTTTGTATCCTGACTTCCTAGTCTTATAAGTTGGCTTCTATTGGAAAAAGACCATACATACCAGGAGCTACAAAATAGATAGGATCTGATCGTCGTGCTGAGCTAAATATGTCCCGATGGCGTTGTGACCAATGGAGCTTTGCAGGAGACCCATTTCTTTGGATAGCCTTCCAGCCATCAACATCTGGAACACAAATAAAATCACTCTGCAGTCAGACAAACCACATCATCTATTGAGTTAAAAAAGGCAAGAATTGTTTGCCAAAAAGTCTTAGCAGTAAGTAACAAGTGAGGTTTTCTTAATATTTCCACAGACCTCAAAATTCCCTATGTACCTCTCCACTTGGGTCTCAATCTCACCCGCCCCCACCCTACAGCTGCTTTGACTTCTTGTATTTGAGTCTGAGTCTTTTAATAAGAGAGCATGTTTTCATCTGCCTGTAATTTGTATTTTTATTTTATTTACATAAACAGGGTCTGGCCTTAGTGAGGTAAGGGGATCCAGTATTTTCAAAGAGAAACTCAGAGTTGAAGTCATGTCAGTCTCCCATGTTTTTACAGTGCTTTGTAGCTTGGTAACTAATTTTACATAAATTAACTCAATTAATGTATTGAAAGCAGTATTATTAGTGAATGTGAACTCCAGGAAGACTCTCACAAACTCCCCAATCCAAATGAATGATTCTTTTGTGGTTTTGAAATAGAGGGGGATGAGAAATGCAGGGAAATGAAAATCTGGTCTCTTTTTAGTTATTCTTTTAAGTTATTCCAAAACTGGTATGAGTAAACCATTGAGCTATAACTTTTTTGAGACACTAGGGTCTGCCTTAATGCCCTGACAGAAGAATCCATTAAAAGCTAGAAGAGAGTTGCTAAAGATGGCTCAAGGATCCCATCCTGTGGTTGTCTGCGAGCACAAAGCCCTATACAACGTTAAAAACAAAATCCTAGAAAACAGAATACTGCACCTTGATGGAAGGCAGAGGTGATTTTATGGACACTGTAGTCCCCAGAGCTGCGGCAGCTGGCAGAATGCCCATAACAAAAACACTGGGTACAGCCCTCAGGGTTTCCCCCATCCAGGTGATAGTAACCTGGTCGACACCTGCAGCGACATTTTAGAAATCAAGACAATATTGTGGGTTATTTCTTATTCCATATAGAGAATATGATGACTGATCTTTTCTACTTTCTCTCCCACCCAGCACTATTTAATTCCCAGAGGTGGGAAATACTAAGTTGCACATACCACCCCCTCTCCCAGACCACGGCATGGATAATCACAGCCCCACTGAAAGAGCATGAGGAACATTCATTTTTCCTCCCTCTAGTAGAGCAGAATCATGTTAGATTTGATTGTCTCGAAACTTAATGATTTTCCCATCCTTGATGAGGACAGAGTGGAGGTCACATGGGCAGGAGAGGGAGGGGTGGGCAGGGATATGCAGAGCTGGCCCTGTCTTGGAGCAAGTGTTTAATGGAGGCTAAAGAGTGGGAGGTGTAGGCCAGGAAAGTAAAGGCAAATGCTCCAGCCCCAGCACCCCCTGAGCTGCACTGACCCCCCCACAAGACCTCTAGGTGTTGCCCACCATCATACCTGGGCTCTGGCCCATGGGGGTGAGGATATGACAAAGAAGGATGGCTAGAGGCTCACTCTCTACAAAAGCAAAGCGCAGGCTGGTGTTCCACCACTGCTCCAAGCTCAAGCTCTCCAGAAGCTTCTCTGAGGACCACAGCTGCCAGACAAGTCCCAGATGTTGGGGTCACAGAGAAGAGGAAGGTGTGGAGGACTTGTTTTTAGTCTGTTCAAGTTAACTACATCCTTCTACATCAAGTAATGATAGTTTCAATGATCATTTATTTAGCACTTACAACATGCCAGGCGCTTATGTATGCTTTCACATTTAATCCTTACTATAGCCCTATAAGACAGGAATTGTTATTTTCAGTTTCTTAGATGAAGAGACCAAGGCCAGAGAGGTTAAGAAACTTGTTTAAGGTCATACAGCTGGTAAGTGGCTGAGGCAGGATTCAGACTCAGGTACACCCGCCTCTAAATCGTGTGGCCTAACCCACTGGACCAGATGTCAGGAGTATGTTCGTTGTGCAAAATCACAGAACAGCAGGTTAGCTGTGAACAGTGGATGCCTCAGAGAACAGCTATAAATAAATAAACATTGTTTTCTCTGCAGAGCAACGGTTAAAAAAAATCATTATAGTTTCTCTGGAGGAAACCTGTAGACTAAAAGAGATTAAAAAAGAAGGAAGGGAGAGCAGAAGGGAGGGAAGGAGGGAGGGAGGCCCAGAAAGGGCAGAGAAGGAATGATAAAGGAAGAGGGGTGGGAGGGAATCAGGCAAAACTAAACAATAATGTTTAGGCATGCACTTGGGTAATAAATTAGGAAGAAAAGCAAGGAAGTGATTACCACAGAAGTCAGGACAGTGGTCACTTCTAGGAAGGAGGGAGAGTGCTGTTATTGGGATGGAACATTTTTAGCAAAGGTCTGTTTCATATAATTGGTGGTGGTGGCATGTGTTTGATGTGGCTTTCTATTTTGGTGTTCTATTTTGAAATTAAAAATGTTTTCAAAAAGTGACTCCTCTTTTAACCCTTAAGCTGTGTCCCTACCCCCACCTCAGCCAAAAAGAACCCCCTGAAAACACAAGCTGGGAATGTGTCTGGCATTTCCTCTGCCCAGGTATAAGGATGCCGAAGAACTGCTTTCTTACTTTTAAGGAAATGCAGGGGAAGACTACCTTTGGGGCCAACCTCACAGCCCTCTGCTCACAACCCTCTGCTCACAACCCTCTCAGGGGAGGGAAGAGTCTTTTAAGTCTGAGCAGTTTGTACTTAAGGAATGTCCTGCAGCAGCAACGGAGGGTGGATCGCTCTTTACCGCGCCACCTGCCCCAACATGGCGTGGGGCCCAAAGGCTCTGACATCTTCCCCCGGTTAGTGTGTGTGCTTGTAGCCACCACCCCATCCCTGGGCGGTTCGTTGTCTGCATACGATGGTTATATATGGCTATACCATGTTGCGATATTCCCTCGTACGAGGATTTTCCCTACATGTTTAATTAGGCCAGGCCTTTTCTGGGGCTGAGCTAAGACTCGGGATCTCATTACTGCATACCACCTTGTATCCAAGCACCTGGGATTCGGAGCCAGCTGGCGAGGGGACTCACTGGGGCCCTCTGCCTCTGCCACGGTGTAAACAAAGAGAAGGGGCCCATGGCAGAAGCATGGAGTCCAGTGAGATTTGAGGGCTCAGCTGTATTTTAAAAAAAAAAAAAAAAGCCTAGTTTTTGAGGACAGAGGACAGGAAGGTCATCAACACTTGTTACGGACTCCTTTTCCATGTTGCACACAGAGGAGGAATTCTCAGGCTAGTTGCCAAGGGACTCTCCTGCTGTGTCTGGAGGGCCACAGTTCCCACTGACCTATCACAGCGCTCTCCGGTGACAGCAGGCTTGCAGACACAGCGGCCCGAGTCACAGGGCCCCGAGATGCCAGCTGGGTCACAGTCACACTTGGAGTCTCTGGGAAAGAAGAGAAAGAAAATCAGGAATGTGTTTCCAAATGCTTTGCAACTATACACAAAGATCAAGTGCTCATAAGCAAATGTCAGCAACTTGAACAAATCTCTCATCTTCAATGAGGCCTCTCTTAGCCATCCTTGTCCACGTTCATCTCTCCCAGACCCTTTCAGGGCTCATTTGTCTATGCTAGTGCTACTCAGAGTGTGGTCTGCGGGCGGCAGCCAGGCCATCAACTGTTTGCTGCCCACCCCTAAGGAGAGGGGGGTTTTGTGCCAGAATGTAAACTCAAGTCATCACTAAACTATTTAGTTTAGTTTGGTTGGCTGGTTCAGTTGACATTTTTTTAAAAATTTATCATTTGTTTCTCTATTGTTTAATTCAATAATGTCTGCTTTCATCATGATTGATTTCATCTACTTGCTGTTTTAGTTCGTTCAGTTCTTTCTTTTGGTAACACTTCTATTGAGATATAATTCACATACCATGCAATTCACCCACTTAAAGTGTATAACTCGATGGTTTTTAGTAGATTCTCAGAGTTATACAACCATCACCACAATCAATTTTAGAACATTTTCATCACTCCAAAAAGAAACCCTGTGCCCTTTGGCAATCATCCCCCCATTTCCTCCCCTCAACCTGAGGCAATCACTAATCTACTTTTTGTCTCTACAGATTTGTCTATTCTGAACATTTCCTATAAATGGAATCACACAGTACGGGGCCTTTTGTGTTTCACTTCTTTCGGTTAGTATGTTTTCAAGGTTCCTCCATGTCATACCATGAATAAAATCCCATCATACGGATATACTACATTTTGTTTATCCCTTTATCAGCTGATGGACATTTGGGCTGTTTCCACTTTTTAGCTATTGTGAACAATGCTGCTATGAACATTTGTGTGCAAGTTTCTGTGCAGATATATGTTTTCATATCTCTTGGGCGTATACCTAGGAGTGGAATTGCTGAGTCTGGCTGATTTTTTTTTTTTTTTTTTGGTTATAAGACATTCTCAGTGAAGGAAATCAGTGCTTTCATTATTTATCTTTGGCACCACCTCCTTGTCTTGTGCAGACCAGTGCTTTGACTAGTGACTCGTGCACTGGTCTCTGTCACTCAGTGGGGCACACAATCACATGCATCTATCTCATGGATCTAAAACCAAGTTTGTTGCCTTTTCCCTACTGATCTGCTCTTCCTCTGACTTGCCCTATAACTCCATTCAAATCCTGTCCAAACCTGGATTTGACTCCTTTCTCTCCCTTACATTCCTCATCTAATCAGATGCCAAGTCCAGTCAGGCTTCCTGAAGTTTCCTTTCCCAATCTTCATCTTTCAATTCCCATAGTTGGCTCCCTATCTTAGCCCCTCCATACTACAAATATAGACCCTTTGACAAACATGTATTCAGCACCTACTTGTTGCTAAGCACTGGGAATACTAAGAAATAGGAAATAGCCCCTGTTCTCTAGGAGTCTCGAGGCAGGGCAGATATGTGAACAACAATGGCAGTAAAGCATAATGCCAGCTGTGGCTGAGCCAAGACACCCTGTATGTGCCTCTTCCTACTCTAGGCATGGGGATACAGCAGTGAACAAGACCAAGCTGTGATGGGGCTTATGGTCTAGTGGGAGAGACAGACAAATAAATGAATATATATAAAACAAGAGATTGAAGTAAAACAACAGACTCAGAACATGGAGGGGTGGGGACTAGTCAGGGAAGGCCTCTTCAAGGAGCTGGATGAGGTGGGAATGGAGCCCCATGAAGCTCTGCGTGGCTCTGCAGGAAGGAAGAGCGCTCTAGGCCAAGGCCACAGTCACATACACTTGGCTCCTTTGCAGAAAGGAAGGAAGGAAGGCTGGTGTGGCTGGAGTGCAGGGGGAGAGTGGTGAGATATCGAGGGTGAGCCTACTGCTGAAGGTGGAGAGGGCAGGAGGATCTTGCAGTGCCCTGCCAGCCTTGAAAAGAAGTTTGGATCTCATTCTGAGTGGGAAAGGGAGCTAATGGAGAGTTGTGAGCAGAGAAGTGAAATAATCTACTTCATGTTTTAAAAGGGTTACAAAAAGGAGATTGGGCCCAGGGGAGGGTCTCTGAAAACTATCTAAAAGGGTCAGGGGTCAGTCTGGAAGAGAACAATCTATGCAAAGGCCCAAAGGGTAAGAGGACTTGGGACAATGATAACTGGAACAGTGCAAGCATCGGTGGAGGGCGGTTCTCATGTGGGCAAGGGGCTGGGAAAGTGGGCAATGGTGAAGCGATTCCTCTGTGGGTCACCTTCTAGCTAATGGCTTCACTGCTACACTTCCCCTCCCAACACCCTGCCAGCTCTGCATCCCTGCAGATTGGTTATGTGATTTATAATGTAGGCTCCATCTTCTTCTAGAAAAGAATTTGAGGAGGGATAGAGGATGCTTCAAACTAAAGTGGATTAAAATTATGCAGAAAAGTTCTACTCCAAATTCATTTGGGTTGAAACAGGTCCCGGGTTAGAATCTGAAGGACTCTTTACCTCCATCCTAGTTCATCTAAAGGGGGAGCAATTGTTAGGGTGAAGAACAGGGGTACCAGAGCCAAAACTCGGGGCCTGAATGTTAGGACCACTTTCCCCAGTGACATCAGGAAATTTATTTAACCTCTTGTGGTTTGTTTCTTATCTTTAACATGAGTATCATGCTAATCCCAACTTCTTATGGTTATTGTGAGGATTAAATGAGATAACCCACATGAAGTCCTCAGAACAGTGTTTGGCACACAGTAGGTGCTCAGTAAATGTACGTGGTCGCTAATGTTCATATATGTGTCATTATCATGGCAGAAGCAGCAGTGGCGAGTGCAGGTGCTTACAGGAGCCTTTGGTCTTGGGTGCACCCGGCATCAGTGAGTGTGTGGAAGCCGGGCAGACATCGGTCACACCTGTCTCCTGTCACACCTGGCTTACAGCTGCACCGTCCAGAGTTGTCACAGCGAGCACTGAGAGAACCTGTAACCGACAAGGTAGGAAAAAGGAAATATTTAATTTATACGGCATTAGGAAGCAACTGTCACCCCATGGAGCTCAAGAAATACTAATAACCACCACCTGCTGCCTCTAGCAATTCTTTCACATTGTCTGAGGATTCATCTGCCCACTAGGCAAAGTTTTGACAGCCAAGGATGGCTTCTTCAAGTAAAGAAATGGAAATTACTCCTGAAAGCATTTTTATTTATGTATCTACTCTGATTTCAACATTAAGTGAAGGAATGTGTGTAAGCCACTGCTTTTTAAAAGAAGTTCATCAAATCCTTGAGATCTCAAGAAGAAAGAAAATTTGTAATGAGCACATCAGCCTCCTCAAAGAGAGTTAGTATGAGAAAGTGAGCAACGTTCCCCCTTATTTCTGGCAGACAAAAGTCATCTTTTAAGGGTCAGTGCTTGAATGGTGCGTTGTTTTAAGAGCACAAAAAGGCCTCTTAAACAAAAATATCTTGACCAACCTGGAGTGGTAGAAATTCTCATCCTTGGAGCATCACCCCTTGTGAAGAACGAAGGACCTGTGCATCTTACCCGGTTTAGTGCACTGGAGTACTTGTCCTATGATAAACTTTTTATAGACATGCTCTTACTTGTAAACGGGTCCTCTCAGATTGAGTGTTGATGAAAGACAAGAGGTGCTCAGGATCACAAAACGCACCACTCTGGAATCCAGCCCCTTCTTACCACCTCCCCTTCCACCGCCCCAGTTCAAGCCTCCATCTTCTCTCACCTGCCCGTCACTCTCCTTCCTGCCTCTATCCTTGCCTCCCTAGGCTCCATTCTCTACATAGAAGCCCAGCGCTCTTTTAAAGTGTAATTCAGATCATATTATTCATCTGTTTAAGTCCTCTGGTGGCTGCCCACTATAAGCAGAATAAAATTCAAACTCTGGATCATGGCTGGCAAGACTCGACCTCTCTTACCTCATCTCCTACCCTCCTTCACTAAGTTCCAGCTCCCAGCTCTCCAACCTGTTCCTAGAATGCGCTAACTGCTTCCCTCCTCAGGGTGTCTCCTCTTCCTGCTCTTAGCCTGGAATGCTCTATCCCTAGAACTTCACCTAGTTGGCCCCTTCTCAGCACTCGGGTCTTGATTAAATATTACGTCTCTAGAGAAATCTCCTCTGACTCCCATATCTAAAATATCCATCCCACCCCATTCCAGTCCTTTGCCCTGCTGACTTACGACAACCTCAGCTCATGTTCCCCACTGTACCCTCAGTGCCCGACACAACGAAGAGGCCCCCAAATCTGTTGGCTTAACACATGTACGTATGCCAAGAAAAAAGACAGGGCTATTGTGAAAGGAATTAGGAGGGAGCCAAAAGACGAGGTGAAAGGTGGCTAGAGGTATACCTCACCTACTTTATAACTTCCCTGCAGCTAGCAGAATTATAAAATAATCCATATATCTCAAATAACTGCAACAATTCGGCTATCCATAACCTATAAAGCCAGCAAAACGTTAACCAGTTGCTTCTTTTTTTCTAATCTGTTGTCCTTCTGTGAACTTTTAATTCACTAATAGATACAATTCAAATCAGTAAAAGTATTCACTCTGTGCTTATGTAAAGGCTTTTATGCCACATATGGAAGGTGAAATAAATTAGTCATGTTCACAGTTAGAGTCTGTGAAAGTCTCCCTGTCAATTTTGCAAGGCTTGAAAGGGCCCTCAGTGAAAACAGTATAAACTACATTTTTTTGAGCGCCTACTACATATGAGACACTGAGTTAGGCCCTATATATATATACCTTAGTTCCTGCTATCTACTAGTGAATTAAGAGCTGATAGAAAGATAACAGATCCATTTGTGGGTGATAGGGAGCTCTCAGAGGTTCAGGCAGGCAGTGACAAGATCAGACCTGCAGTTTAGAAAGACAGCTCCAGAGCAATCCGCAGGATGGCTTGGGAGGGAAGACCAACAGGCTCTCGTGAAAGGAACCCTCCCCTGACATGAGGGCCTGGATTAGAGGAGTCTGGGTGAGTATTCTACAAAACTGGGTGGTACTCTCCAAAACTCTTCTGAGGGGTATTAACAGTCATCTCAGGAAAACAGACATTCTGTTGTTCATAGAGTTTGGGAAATAGTACATACTAAATCTTTCAGAGATTTATAACATAATAGTACATTCACTAGGCATGAAGCCTGTTAACCTTTTAATGCCAGTGTTTCCAAACATTATTTGACATTCTTACAGGCAATGCCTACTATTATCTTGAGGAATACAGTGTTCCATAGGACACTATGTAGAGAATACAGCTCTAGAAGCTGGGGGAACATGAAGAGAGCCCCGGCTTTGAAGTCCAACAGATCTCACTTCAGATACCAGTTCTGCCACTTATTAGCTGTGTGTCTTTGGGCAAAATGCTTCCTCAGCACTGGGGTTAACAACCTATGCCTTATAGAGCTATTGTAAGACTTTGAGCTAAAATATATCAAGTGTCTAATTTACTGTCTCACACATAGTAGGTGCTACATTAAGAAATGTAATTTGTACTGTTATCTCTAGTCTCCTTCAAGCCTTGCAAAGTTGACATGGAGATGTACACAGGTTCTTACTGTGAACATGACTAATTTATTTCATGTTCCAAAACTTCTAAAATAATAGTACTAGGTTTTCAAAGTATCTCATTAAAATAAAAACACCTGTCCCAATTCCTACATTACGAGCTACTCTTGGGATTGTGAACAACTGGATTTAAAGAACAGAGGAAGAACAGCCTCTTGTCCCAATAAGCACTTTCAAGGCTTATGCAGATGTAGTCTACATGCACTTGAGGACGCAGGAAGGTATTGTAAAATGAATAAAATTTAAACCAAGAGCGTATACTTCCTTTTGAGAACACTTAAAAAATATATATGCACTTGCATTTTAAAAGAACATTATTATTTAACAATTATATTAAATTAATCAGAACACCTGGATTACAACTTTAGCCCTTGCAATCCCTTGCTGGGAGAGTTTAGGCCATTTGTTAAGTCTTCTAGGTCTTACTTTCCCCACTGTTAAAAAATATTTGAAAAACTCACTGTCAATTTCAGGATGTTAATAATAAATAAAATGTTAATAAATAGTTTTAGACCAAATATATGGCCTCTACCAGGTTTCTTTCTAAGCTGGAATGTAGTTTTTTAAAAAACCAGTGTTCCAGGAGATTGAGATCCTGACCTCTGTCCTAATAAGAAAAACAACTGCATCAACTACAATTTGAGTTGTCTACCATGTGCTTAACAAACATCATATTATCCTCATGATCCTCTGATATAAACAGCGGGATCACTCTTTCACAGATAAGGACACTAGGGCAGCAAGTGGTTAAGGAGCATGCCCAGAGTGACACAGCAGTAGCGACAGTGCCAAGATTTGAACCCAGGCTGTCTGGCTCCAAACCCACCACCATACTCTACATTATGATCTTTGATGTCAGCACCCCTGGAGTTGGAACCCTGGCTCTGCCATATAGCTCTACAACCCTCGACAAGCTCCTTCACCTCCCTCTCTCAGCCTCTGCTACCTCATTTGTAAAATGGAAATAAGAATAGCACTCTCTTCCTAAGGTTATTTGTGAAGATTAAATTAATTACTAGATGAAAGTATCCAGACAAGTGCCTGGCACAGAGTAAGCATACAATGCATGTTAGCTATCACACAAGATAAAAATCATCGCTAGGCTCCGCCACTTGCTACCAGGCTGTTCACGCTGAATCCAGGATATCTATTCCCCCCAAAAAAGAAAGAGCCAGGCTCATTGTTGCTAGGCGAGCAATGGACTACACAGTGAAAAAGAAGAGACGACGTGGTAAGTCCTTCATTACCATCTCTCTTTGCTAGGCAGCAGGCTCCTTGTCTACTCTGAGACTAATAACCTTGTCTTCAGGCCAGGCTTTCCAGCTGAGCCAATTAAATTTCTAATTACATTCTCACTGATCATTTTCCTAGGAAGACCAAATTCCAGTGACTTACGATGAAGCTGCGTAGCCTAAGGGGATATGAGCTCTTCAGAGAGGTTAAATGCCCATTAAAGTGGAATAATTTTTCTTTTAATTTTTCTTTATGAAGTTCTTTGATTCATAGGGAGAACTGTTAAATCCAAAAGATTCTGGATGCTGATTCTACACCACAAAGCAGGGCAAGTCTGACTCAAACCACATCGTAACAGTAACTCTGGTGAATTTGGAAGTGATTCCTAGGATATGGGGTCTGTATCACCACAGGGTCACCCCAGTTTTCTACAAGGCTCCCGCACACACTCTACCAGCAACTCAAGACTGGACCAAAATCTGCCCGTTTTTAGATTCTTTCAGCTGCTGCTCTGAATTGGTTCCATAGAACTACACTGAGTCACTGCCATGCACTAAGGCTATGCCCTTTAGGTAGATTAATATTTATCATATTATACTATCAAACACTTTCTAGCAAAGAGGAGAAACAGATACTGCCAAGAAAGATAATAGACAAATGAGGTAGTTTAAAAAAAACTCAACTTATTTAACAGAACTACCTCTCTCTCCCTCTTCATACTTACTAACTTGTCTTTACTGTCTGCCCACAATGAATATAGCGAGATGTGTGCATCTGTGTGCACAAAAACTAACTACAGTTCTGCAAAGACAGCACTGGGTGATACGTTAAAAAACAAAAACAAGCCCTCCTATGAATGAACCACCCTGTTAGGTGCTTCCTATTTGTTATTCTACTTTCCCTTGTTAACGACTCTGTGAAAGACTCTAATTTGCCTGTTTATTTGTCTGTCTCTTCTATTAGTACCAGTTTATATTGCTAGCATCTAGCCTAGCACCAGAAACAGATCTTTCTAATCTCTTATTTTTTGAGAGGTTGGTCAAAGGGATAGTTATGGATAAGAAGAACCATCACTGGAAGAGTGCAAGCTTCCTTTGTCCCTGGGTCAACCACTGTCATCTGATGGGAAAGGTAATCGTGTGCTTCTTGGTACCAGAATTCAAACCCACATGCCCTAAAGACCCCATCTGACGGGAAAGGTAATCGTGTGCCTCTTGGTACCAGAATTCAAACCCACATGCCCTAAAGACCCCATCTGACGGGAAAGGTAATCGTGTGCCTCTTGGTACCAGAATTCAAACCCACATGCCCTAAAGACCACAGCTGGTTCCTACAACCCAGACTTCAGAAAAACACGTTTCCTTTCAGATTGAAATTGCTAAAAAGACCAGTGTCTAGTAGATTCCCAATTGTTCTAGAAGTTGAACATGTCCCTCACGGCCTGCCTGCTTCTCTCTCCCTCCCTCCCTCCCCATCCTCTCCCCCTCTCCTTCTCTCTCTTCCTTTCCCCCTTTTTTCCAACTACCTTTGGAGTTACAGTTGCAGGGTAAACAGCGGTCTCTTTCTCTCTGTCGGTAAAATCCTGCCCTGCACCTCTCACAGTGGATGCCGTCAGTGTTGTCATTGCAGTTGAGGCAGCGGAATCCATTTCCTGTCTGTCTCTGAAGTTCCTGGTCAAAGATGCATTGCCTGGACTTCCCATTGCAATCACAGACTGAGGATCAGGAAAAAAAGACATCATTAGCAAAAAACAGCTCAGGCACAATTCTCCAAGGTGTTGTATTATTATTAATATAAATTATGCATGGGGTGCCACGTATTAAACTGCTCGATGGCATAAGGTAAGGGAGTGAAATACACCCCTGAGGACTATGGGAGTTTTTCCTGTACCTAAACGAAGCTGCCATTACACGGTGCCAGTGGGGTGTTGCCTGGGAGAGCATCAAGGTTGCCAGGCTGTCCAATTCCTCAAGAGAAACCAAAAACCTTATGTATTTTTGTGTAAAAATTCTTGATTTAAATATTCACAGGAATTCATTTTTAAAACCCTGTGCAACCCCACAGAACAAGTCTATGGGCTGGAGAAGACTCGAGGGCTGCCAACTTGTGCACTCTAGCACAACTGTCTGACAGCTGATGGTGTCAACTGTTCAAGATACATAGCATTCATCCCTCCAGTGATGGTCAAGGCTGAGGAGCTACTATGACTGTCTGGACAGGTATCTCCTCCCTCCTCACTGTGCGTTGAGTGTCCCTCCAAAGCCAGGTGTCAAAGAGAACCACAGTCCCATGAAGAGTGACCTTTCTCAAGTGTCTAGGAAAGTTCACCCTAGTGAACAAGTGGATGTTCCAAAGAGACTCATGGAGTGACTAACATCTCTAGTTGGACCTAAACAGCCAATGAGGTAACAGGTGGAAATACTTAGCACAGCACCTGGCACACAGCAGACACTCAAAAAATATTTTAGTCATGGTGTAGAAGAGAAAGATGATGAGCCTTGAGGTTAAAAGAATTGTATCAAATACCAGTTCTGCTATTTCCTTGGGCAAATCACTTCAACTCTCTGAGTCTTGTTTCATCTTTTATAAATGTACACAGCATTATCTGCCTCCCTGGATTGTTGAAAGGATCCCCACTGAGGAAAGAATATCAAGTCCTTTGCCTATGCTATTTCACCCCTCACTGGTATGAGACAGGCACTGCCTTAGAGGAGAAAAATGCAGCTCGGAAAGGTTACGTAACTTGACACCATAGAGAGCTGGGATTTGAACCCCTGTCGGATGCCAAAACCCACTTTCTTTCCACCAGTCACACTGTCTTCACTGGCCATGCAGCCCCAATGAAAGCCTGTTTCTAGAATTGCCTAGGGCCATGACTTCCCCAGAGTATGGACAAAAAAAGTCAACAAATGTGCCAACACCTACTGAACAGCTGCCCCGTGCAGGCCATGTCATGTCATGCTCTGAAGGCACAAAGGTGGCAAAGGTGACTAAGTAAATCTGATGAGCTTCCTAAGAGACTTCCTTACAACAGCTCCTAAACTCACTCTCTTACTACTTTGGATGCCATCTAATCTAGGGAAAGTCAACTAACCTCTATCCAGAGCCCACTCTATTTCTAGGACTTTATATACCTCAGCTCAGTTAATTCTCAAAATAACACTTTAACATGGTTTATTATCTCCCTTTAACAGATAAAGAAACAAATGCTTAGATGGGGTAGATCCTGCTTAAAGTCACACAGCTAAATGGCAAAGATATAATTTGCTCCCAGGTCTGGCTAACCACAAAGCCCTCACCTTTCCATTTTAACCCTGCTTCTCAAGAATCTGGTTTACTACCGCATATGGGCATTCTTTCTATCAATCCCTCACAGAGGGTTATTCAGCCCCTTCTGGAATCCTTCCTGATCAAGGACGATATCCTAACGCTGCTTAGACAGCACTGGTTGTTACAAATTCTTTTTAATGGAGTTTAAAATCTGCCTCCCTCCCTATAATATTTACTACATGCTCTTGGACTCTGGAAAACAACACACACACACTCTCTCACACACTCACACCTACTCTCTTCTTCATTTACTTATTTATTTATCAGACATTTATTTCAAACATGGCTTTACAAGGCACTGCATCAGCCAAGCCTTTGAATATCTGAAGATAGCTGTAGCATCTCCCTCCTTAGTCTTCTCTTCTTCAGGTTAAACTGGAGAATTGTCACCTCCAGGTCTTTCAATCATTTCCCATGTCATGACTTCTAGACTTTTCTTGACTACCCTTCTAGAAACACTCTAATTTTCAGTATCTTTCTTAAAGTGACTGGAATTTATTACAGTACTTCCAGTGTGATATGAACAGCTCAGCTTACAACAGGGCTAAATATTATAATTCCATGGATGCAGCCTAACATTTCATTAAACTTACAGCATATTAAGTTTGCACTCAATTCAAACTCCCAGAGCTTTTTCACAGAACTGGTGCCAAGCCGAATCTTTCCCAACAAATGCTTGTGTAACTAATTTTTTGGATCTCGAACAGATGTGCCACACAGCTCTCATGTGCTGTGAAATTTCTACTGAGTCCATCATTGGGCATGTACAAGAGTTAAACTCACCAGCCAACGATCCTTGTGAGGTGACTCAGCTGGATCACACATTGAGCCTATGCCCTCTCTGCCCTGCATACCCTCTGAAAGCAATCTCAAAATAATTACTAACTTTTCACTGTGCCTTTCTTATTCAGAACATAATTCTTGCTAGTAATAGTTAACTTCATAAGCACAGTACGTGATATATTTATTTAGAGCAATATTTTAAAAATAGATAACCTTGTTATAATCTTTTTTTTACCACCTCCCTCTCCTTCCATCCTTTCTCCTTTAAAGCTCTGCTCTGAAAGAACTGTGTTCTTCCTTTAAATTTACAGCTTCCCGTAGAGATGCATTACAGTTCCAGCAAGGGAGGTCTTCAGCCAGCATCTCCACTCTTGCCCAAAGGTTATAGACCTATTGCCAAACTACCCTCCTCTCTCTCAAATGAGTTTCCCTTAAAGCCCAGAGTTATGCTGGCTGGAGTGAGGGGACGTATGGGCCTCGTGTCCAGGGAGTGTACTGGCCTCCTGTGTCCGCGTTACATGAGAACTCCGTGAAGACGTTCTCTTGCCTTGCCTGCAGGACTCTGAGGTCACCAATCTGCACCGCACTCAGCTCAATATTGAGTCTTACAAACGGTCACACCCAGAGTTTGCTGTTTTGCATGGAATGATCCTTTTTGTCATTCATGCATTTGAAACATGGTCTTTCTCAAACTATCTCTTTTTGTCATTCATGCATTTGAAACATGGTCTTTCTCAAACTATCTCCCAAATTTAGACTAACTTCTCTAAAACCAATTATTATTCATTCTCACTATGGGAAAAAAAATCTTTATATTTCAAATTCCAGAGTATTCCTGCAACTGGACTTAATAAAATGGGCCTCATACAGCTTGTGCCTGGTCTTGTTTATTTTGTGACCCATTTCTGCCCAACCACTACCATGGGCACACTGGTTGCCGAAGGGCAGTGCCAGGCTAGGAATAAGGCAACAGGGAGCAGTGGGTACTCTGCCAAAAGGGCTAAAGGGCGAAGCACTGCTTCACGCCCAGCCAATTGTAGTCACACGGGAATGATGTTCACAGTAGTCAGCATTGCCCTTAGGTTTTAAAGAAGACAGAAATCTGGCTTTGTGTATGAAATCTACTGATTTTTCAATGTTGGCAAAAAAAATACTTTTAAATTTCTTTTTAAAATAAAGCTTTGTCCAAGGGCAAATCTCTGAATTTGACTCTGCTCTTCTAACAGACAGAAAACACATCTCATGCTTTAGAAAAAAGGAAAAATGAAGTGCTAGGATATGGCACAGTGCCGGGTCCATAATTGTATCTAGTGTTTTTTAATGAACAAATGAATGCATGTTCTCTTGAACTTCAGGAAACCCCTAGACGTGATTAAAGAATTCCATGTGTCCCTACATGTCCGGACATGCCTTAAAAATACAAATACCAATATTTAGCAGTCACTCTCTTCCCTGTTCTTTGAAGGAATGCTTTTCTCCACAGAAGCCTAGTCCAGAAAACAGCCTTTCTTGGTAACTTATAATACAATGATTTATTTAGATTAATAGACCTAAATACAAGTCTATAATACATTTTAAAACAAGAGGGAATTCTAAAAAAAAATTTTTTGTTATACTTTCCTTCCTTTATGTTTAGCCTTGTTCAATTTTATGTCTAGAATTTTTTCCACTTTTATTTTGTAATCTATTTGCTCTTCTACTGTAGGAGATCAGTATTGGCCAAAATGTGTCTCTTTGGCTTAATTATTTTTAAGGACAAAAGACTCTAAAAGAAACTGTGACCTTCCCCCTAACTACCTAAAAGAATTTAAGATAGAAGGCCTGTCCCAGGACAGGCCATCACCACAGATAACTTTGAGTACGATAGCCTGGGAGGATCTTTGCGAAGCCCATTTTTATCAAAGTTTTCTCTCTAAAGTTACATTGTCTATAGATGGCCCAACAAATATTTATCCAACACTTGCTTTTCCATCTCCATGTAAATTACCTTCCTCCCCTTTGAAGACCCAAACCACTACCTCCAACATCCTCCTTTGCCTTTAGCTGAAGATGGTATTTAAGTTGGTGGCTTCAGCCATTTTGGCAAGTTACTCAGTTTTCCTGAGTTTCTCCCCTGTATACATGTTATTAAACTTTGTTTGATTTTCTCTTGTTATTGTGTCTCATATCAATTTAATTCTTAGACCAGCCAGAAGGACCTAGAGGGTAGAGGAATAGGTCTTCCTCCCCTCCACTCCCAAATTTTGGGCCACTTGCAAATTTTGTAAATTTGTTGTCTAGTTTCCATCAGGGAGCCTTGACACAAAATGCAAGTGATGGAAGTATAAAGATGGGGGTCTTTGACATTTCCTGGGTCAACTGGGAACCACTGATCAACAGTCCAGTCATCCGTTTATTCAACAAATACGAACTGAGCATCTGCTATTTTGGCAGGCCCTGTGTAGCCACTGGGGATACAGAAGTAAACAAAACCGATAGACGTCCCAGCTCTCGTGGAGTTTACATGCAAGTTGGAGGGAAAGAAAATAAACAAGATAAGTTATATAGAGAGAATATTGGGATAGCAATATTTGTTAAGGAGAAATACATACAGCAGTGAAG